CATAGTATGTACACAACTTAATTATTTTTAACAATTTTGATATATTTAGTCATCGACAATGGCACAAAAATCGGCACAGGGTTTCTAGACAAAGTTACGTACAAAATTACAACAAAAACATGCAATATTCATAAATTTTTAAACATTCGTGATCGATAAACTAACGTATTTATATGGATAAATTACAATAAAGTACGTTACGAAAACCTACAATTGTTTTTTTTATCAACGTATAATATAATATCATTCCTCTTCAATTGTGCAATTGATACGCTCATTACAATAATAATAACAGAGCTTACTTAACTTACTATAAGAAAATTACACAACTCAAGCGTATCGATGTTGGGAAATCGTATGAAAATTTCGAAAACATCAAGTGTCCCATTTAAATTAGATTATTTTTTCTATATAAGTATAACCTTCGACCTTAAAATGTTGAATGCACAATAAAACACCATCTATCTGCCCATTATTGTTATGTTCCTTATTTATTTATAGACGCAGATAAATTTTGTGTTATGTTTGATTTTTTTTTCTGTCCATACTTTGAAACGAAACATTCATGTCAAACGAGATCTTTGATTTTCATCGTGCTTCGAATACTAAATTCATGAATTCTTGATAAAAAAAAAAGCAAATACTGGTAGACGTACTATGATATAACAGGATTTAATAAATTTACAATGAAAATAACTGCAATGAAAATGCATTTATTTAACGTAATTGCTGCTGCAAAAAAAAACGTGTAAATACAAGATTTTTGTCTACATCAATTTTGTCATAACCATTCTTGGGTTTTCCATGATTAGATTACACATTATGTTTAAACAATATTATTCACACTTAAAATTATATACTTATAGCAAAATTTGTTCTCAATTTAAAAAAAAACTGAGACATTATTTAATTATTTCTACTAAAGTTAATTTAATATTATATTGTATTTTTTAATCAAATTGGAATTAGAATAAATCAACGTTTTATTATTGTACCACTTATTTATGTTGTTATTTTCAAATTGCAGTGTACACGAGCACATCTTATAACTGTTGATATGCAAACTGTAAATAACGATAAATAATGTTGTTGATCCATTTATAATAAATCAAAAGGTTTCACCTTGAAACAAAATGTCTATACGTTTATAAAAACGCTGGACCGTATTCTTTTATTTTAATTCCTTTTATAAAACGCGAATTCTCCTCAATCTCATTTTAATCACCTGAAGATATTTTTCATATTATGACGTCAAAAATGTATTTACAATTTAAATTTGTTACCTTTGACTGTAGTCTCTTTTTGTGCAGTTTTATTTTAATATATACAGTCGATTCCGCTTAATTGGGACAGCCGTTTATTAGGGGCAATTTTACTCCATTTTTTCGGAACAATTTTCCGTTTAATCGGGACGTGGCCCCGAGGAAACACATATCTATAGATGTTGTATATGCGGCGCATGTACCAAATGCGTCCCTTGCACATACAAATTTATTGTTCCAAAATTTATAATATTTTCTATTATGTTGCAGGTATACATTTTTTATATGTATATACGTATAGTTTTGTGACTTGTGTTATATTATGCAATTTAATAAATAAAATATTAAAAAATACTAATCCTGTATTTTTTGTAGAACTTTGGATATTTGGGCCAGCCGCTTAATCGGGACAAAATGTACTGATCGCGATGTTTCCCGATTAAGCGGAATCGACTGTATTTAGTTCCTCGATTAGTCCGTTTTCAAACAGACAGGGATATTGACAAAACAGATTAGCCGCACTAGGAGAGTTAGTATTGTATAGTAAGTAAATCAGGTAGCAATTGACAATGAATAAAAATCAATGAATGTTAATCTATTATACCAGTGATTCTCAACCACTTTGCCGCCAAATTTTAGAAATGTATATAGTAAAAATTATAATGCACAGTGTATTATAGCTAAGTAAACAACTTTTAAACTTATCTTTTACTTTGTGCGCCGTCAAATTTTGAAATCGTTAAAAGTTTGCCGCGACAAATAAAACCTCACTGTATTAAACCTTCCCTTTACAATTATCAACTGAGTTCAACATTGTAAAGCAGTATTTTCTTAAACATTAATTAAAACTAAATTTATAAAGAAGATATGTTGTAATTACCTACAATAATGCAATTTTTCAAGCTTTTTTTATTTCGTTTTTTTTTTTTGCAATAATTTAATGTTATTATATATATTTTTTGTTTTATTATATGTTCGATGCAATTAATGTTGTTGTTAAAAGTTTCTATGAAAATTTGTAAATTTCATTAGTGCATATTCGTGTAAATTCAAACAATTAAATAGTCAAATAGTAGAGGTAGCATGTATTACCATCTGAATTATTATCTCAATACATGCACGCATGGAATGCATAACGAGATTTGCATAAATTCCACGAATAGCGTGTAGCAATTTATTTAATATAATCACCACAAACAAATATAATTCGCTTCGTGTTTAATAACAATACAACTTGATTGTAAATCGATATTGGTAGTCAAACATATGTCTCTTGACATTTATAAGATAAAAAATACTATTAAAGTATTAATTATACTATTAAACAAATTTCCAGAGCAATTATTTTCTAAATTAAACAATTAAACATTACAAATTTGTAATATAATTCATTTTTAAATAATACCGAGAAGCAATTATTTGGATTAAAGTCTATGTACAAGTGAGTGAATTTTTTAACAAACAATTCGGGTAATAAACATCCGTCTTTGAACGGATTATGTTCGTATACAGATCACTCACTGTATATAATATTCAAGTGTTAAAATTATATCAAAACTAGTAACGAAACGAATTATTATAAACAAAATGGAACCTCCGTCTACTGTATAAATCATGAACATATTGTGGATGTGAAGGCTTTTTTTTAAAACAACACAAAAAAGCGAGATGAAAAAAAACGAGATACTCGAAACCTTATAAGATGTTCACCAGATGTTTACAATATTTCCGAGCAAGAATTATTTAAAAGACTAAAAATTTAATATACAATATCTATCGCGCTGTGCGAACAAGTCTCAGTTTTAGTTTATTTAATATAAATAAGTTTGAAAACTTGCAAATCATCTATTTATTATAGTAGTCTCTCTCTTTTTTTGTAATTGAATTAAATGTATTTATTTTTTGAAAACCGTTACATAATAACGTTTAATATGATATTTGTGTTATTAATATATGTTTTATTTAATTCAAGTGATTGATGTTTGATTTGAAAATGAGAATGTACATTAAGTAAGTGAGCGAGCGTACCATTTACAAAATGGACAAACAAAATGTGGATACATTTAAAAAAAAAACCACTGTTAATCTTTCAATAGAGAGAAAGTTAACTGCATCAATATTAGGACTTCCTAGAAGTAGACTAATTACACACTTAGCGGATCAAATGGACTTCTTGCAGTGTACGCAGGTTTATTGATTAATGATGATATAACGTACATTTATATACTGATGACATTTATCATTTTTTTAAAATAATAATTGTTGAATTTCAGCACATATCATTCTTCGCTATTCCTATAGAATGTAATAAATCATAATAAATATTAATGTTATTTGGAAAAAGTACAAAAATCGATTAGGAAAATAGTATTTAAATAGCTGATGGTCAGATTGGAAATCGGAGCGCTTGAATCGCCAAGTTTACACTGAAAAATCGTTACACAGTTTAATGCATTATTAACTGCGAATTGTAATTGCTTCAAGCCACAACTGCAATTATACTAATTGAATATGGAATCCATACTTTATAAAAAGAAAAACTTTTAAAGCGTAGGCATTTTACCAGAGATTATACAGTAAAGTTCGTTTTAAATAAAATTTTAACATACCATTAAAATATGATGTTTACATCTGTTATAATATATTATATATACTAAGATGCAATATTTCAAATACAGATGGCGCTTTTATTAAATAATATGTTTTTACTTATAATGTATTGCTGAAGACAATACAAAAATCATGTTATTTTTCTTATTTTACCACCATGATCTTCTAAACGTTTCACTTACAAAAACTAGAAATTATGTATATTATTATTAATGCAGTGTAATTCTTACAAGTTACTATCATTACAGAAATGTTTCATGCTCTCAACAACGTGCACATTTCTAAACACAAACTATTATCCATGCCAACGATACGTTTAAATAAATCTATAACAAATTGTTAAAAAATAATTAATTAAATTAAGTCGTAATGAATTTATTACTGAATGCGTAGATTGTTATTGTGTCCATATTTGAAATTTGCAATTACACTAATTAATTAAAGAACCAACTGAAATATAAAACTACGTACAAAGGCAAACAGAAAAAAAAACAACTTTATGAAAATAAAGTAATCATACATGATTTTGGCGAAAATATAAATATGATATTTGAGTCGAATGCCGGCGCTCGTAATTACATGATACATACTATAGAAGAAAAAAAAGGTAAAACGAGGGCGAAAAGTTGTTTTCTGTTCGGAACCGGAATTGTCTCGTAAAGCGCGATAAATGCCAGCTTCATTAAAATGGAGAAATTATCGTCTATATTGGGTAATGTCATATTATTTCACAAAATCCCTAACGGGTTTTTGATCTTATTGCATTATCATACGCATGCAATAAAAAAAACTAGTGTTTTCACTTAACTTAAAAATTGAAAACTAGAACTACTTATAAGATTTTTTGCATATCTAAGAACAAAAGTAGTTAGATATAATGAAATATGTGGATACTGGGTATTAATGCCTAGCGTTTCAATCTGTTGGTTAACACAGTGTAACTTAACTTAAGTTGCACAGTGTATTTCTATTGATTTGAATAGCAAAAAATTAGTGCTGAAGACAAAAACACTGGGCATTGTGTAAACTTTCTATAGGTGCTAGCTAAACAGAGCGTGAGTCTGGTTTTGGAATTAAAGGGGGTGTCTGAATGCAAGAACTACAGGCAAAGTTGGGGGAAAGCAGCACCTTTTTGTCAGTCTTATCAGCGGTATGAGTTGGAGTACCCTCAGCATTTTGTGCAGAAACGTTGGGCAAAGAACCGCCCCTGAACGAGCCCAGAGCCTGGCTGCTGATACGCAGCGTACTTTTCACCGGTTCCTTTTCATTGTTCACCTGCAAATTCATCAACCCCCCAAAAAAAAACAATTGAGCACACACAACAACAAAAACATCTAAACTACATCCACTACTTTTCTTTATGCGTATATACAAGATCGGTCAAAGTTTTGGGAATCACTCGATGCTTCTTCAGATATCAACTTTGATTTTGGTATTACACCAAAAATATACACAGTTTTATTTCGCTAGTTATAATTGCTAATTGTGATTGTGCCCGCCTTGACGTGTCAATGATAACAGATAACATTTTCTATTTGTCATCGCGATGTTTATGAAATCTAAAACAACAGCTGCTCGTTTCCAACTAAATGTATATTAACATATACACCGACAAAAAAATAGAGTAGAGAAGAAAAGCGTTTTATATAGTAATATTTATTTTAGCAATACACAAATGTGAGGCGTGGTGTCTCTGGAAAGCGTAATTTTTGTTAAATGAATTACAACATTTCGAGCATTTTGATATGATCGATTCGGACATCTCCTTTTTGGTAATTGCAGCCTTTGTTTCCTTTATCGATTTTGTTCTCAATTATTAAATGGCCGATAAAGACTGGAAAGACTGAAACGCGTCGCTTGTAATTAATTCTAAATGGACATCAATAAGTCATAATTACTTAGCAGTATGTACACAATGATCGAATGTACTCGTTCTGCCTTTTACCTTTTACAAATTAAATATTGAGCATTTAAATAACGAGATCAACAATTGTTTATATAAACTTGTTTAATATAAGGAAACAAAGAGTTAATGTAATGTTACAAAAGATGCTCTCTCCTAGTATCAAGTTTCTACAAAACCCGCATAGTACTACTTATTACTTAATTTTTAATCATTTATAATTGAAAATTAAAAAAATATAAATATTGATGGATAAATAATTTTAAAAATCAAATACCCAGCATTTCGAAACAAACTAACAAATTAACTTCACATCAATTCGTAGTTAGTATTTTTTCTGACGTTAAGATGAACTTATCTTATTAATGGTCAAATTTTTGTATTTTTATATTTGTATGATGCTAGAACATGGTAGGCAATATATAAGTCCTCAATTATGTATCTCGATTTATTGTCATATATATCCATATGTAAACTACGTTAAAAGAATAATCTTTAATTGCAATTAAATTTACAAACGAATTTTATATGTTGCATTTGAAACACGAAGATGATATTTAAATTTTCTAAGTTCAAAGTCAATAAAACAAAACAGTGTTGGGTCTCGGACATGAGTAAAATTGCTAATTTAAAAATACCGCTTGCTAAAATAAACCAGTTTGAACAGACGCAATGTAATATTTAGCTTTATTATTTAATCTTATAACATGAATTGTGCAATACACCTATTGAAGGCTAGACAATAACATTAAAATTATATATCGAAATTGCATTTTTATCATATAAAAAAACTTAGAAATGGAAATAAAAACTTCGATAAATCTAATAATATTCGATTATTTTGCAATTTTAATAAATAATTGATTTATAAATGTTTTTCTTTTTTTGTATTGAAGCCAATAAAAATTACTTACTTAGGATTCCAACATTAATTGAAACATTTCTAATACTCAAGATATAAACAATCTCGATTAATTAAGCAAATAAACTATAATTAAATCTATATTTAATTAAATTAAAACCTTATAGTGTTCATTTGTATGTACTTAAATTATGAGATGGTTTTACCTAAACTTCTGCCAAATCAGAGATTTAATCAATTACACAAAGCTTCATAATAAATTCTGAACTTGAAAATTGTTAATAAAAAAATGTTTTACTTTAATATTTTAGTATTAAATCATTAATTCAAAGATACACAAATGTATTTATTCGCATAAACTTGATAAAGATAACTTAAGTTCAGTTGCAAACAGCCTTTTTCTAATTTAAATCCTTAAGAAATGTTACTTAGCATCCAAAGATAAAAATAGAATCAGTGGGCAGTAAACTATTAATATGTTTACATTTTATGAAGTTACAAAAAAAAATCCAATAAATTATGCTCAATTTTAATAATAATAAAACAATCCTAAGCACTTCATAAATCAATAAGTAGTAGTAGTTAATTGAGAACAATTCTTTAGAAAAAAAAAAAGATTAAAAGAGAATTTTCTTATTTGAATAAGAGGAATACAAAGTTTTGGAAACTCTATATTATATAAAGTTAGTTAATCATCATAGTTAGTTAAAATATATATGGCATTATTAAATGAAATTTACAAAAAAAGCACTGCTGTTTAGTATTTAAAATATGAATAAAAGTAATTAAAGTTAACAATCTAAAATCAAAAATAGTTCTAGCTTTAATTACAGATATTTCTGAAATTAAAATCCATTGGTATTCGTATTCTGAAAACAATTGATATGTGGAAGCGAATTATTAAACCTTTAATACGATTCCCTCGACAATATGTATCCTGTATATACGCAATCATATATAAATTATTACCGCATTTATCAATTCTACAAATCAATATGCAAATATCTTATAGGAAATAAATCATGGGACAAATTATAAAGAGCTTAAACTAGATTTACAAGTTCGAAGAAACCAAAAGTAAAATTAAATAAATAAAAGAATATATACAAAACAAAGGATTCGTTTCTTTAGCATTACTTGTGTGTTTACGGAGCATAATCCAAATGGATTTTGTGGATTTTAATTAAATTCGTTCATCGTCCTCCCAACAAAATCCATTGCCACTGCGATAAACGATTTTCCGTGCAAGATAACAAAATGAGCTTGTCAAAATAACGTACAGAATTTAGGTGTAACGCTCATAAACTCACAGCGTTTCTTGATAAAAGGTTCGTAGCTTTGTTTGAACAGGATTTGAATCGCGTTATTATAGAAAATGGAAAGGGAATTAAATCATTTGTGGATCAAAAATAATTTTGTAAGTTTATAAACTTGAGGATAAACGCAATATGTGTATTGTGCGGGTTTTAATTATGGATGATGAATTTGGAAATTAAAGGTAAATAGTAGAAGTAAACGAATGAAGAAAAGTGTAATTAACATTTATTTTCTGAATTTGTGCAATCATTCGACACAAAAATTACTTTTATTCCTTTAGTGAAATATAGAATGATGTTGTTAAAATTGAAAGTTTTCTTACAATTAGTGTAACAGATTTAAGTTCGGACACATCTAAAATTAAAATCCAGCGATGATCGTATTCTAGAAACAACTGGACTTCAATCATAACTCTGGCACTTGTTAAATCAAATGGCGCATGTTAGCAATTTCAAACGAATGTACCAAATCAGGCGATTCCCTTTGACCGAATCATGTATACACGCACTCATTTAGATGAATGCACATGGAATCGATATACAAAATATCTTATTGGAACTGGATGATGGGACAAAACAATTTAAGATTAAAACTTCGCAGCTAGCAAAAAGGGGTTAATAAATGTTTGAGAAAAACTTAAAATTGTTTTTGTTATGTAGAATCCAATTGGATCTTAACTAAAAGCGCTCATCATCCTGCTACGGCAGGATTTTTCGTGTATGATAACGAAACTCAAAATAAATTACAGATTTAGATGTGCTTCTCGTATATTCTCACACTGTTTGTTGATTTGAGCTCTATTTGAACTGGGTTTGAATCGCGTGTTGATTACGAATAAAAAGCATTTGAAAGGTTATGTTGTAAAATTCTGCGGGATGCGGTTAGAGCGAAGATAGGTGATATGTAGATGGATGCACCGTAGCTTCTGTTTTGAGGTTGTCAAAGTGTGATTTCGAATATTGAAGGTAAAAAGATTCTGATTTTTTTATTGTAAAAAAGGGGGGAAAAGTGCAATTATCGATTGCTATGCACGTATCCCGGTTGGCCTGAATTTGTGCTATCAACATAAAAAAAAAACGAACGCAAAGAGAGGCACCGGACGAAGGATTCAGGTTCGGCTGAAAAAGAAGGCTCGCAATGTTTGGGAAAGGATCGCACTTATTCCCGTATGCGTGTGTGCTGAATGGGTATATGCTGTATAAGCGCGTGTGTGTATGTTCGGAGTTTATGTATGTATGTGTGTGTGTTTGGATGTGTCTGGCTGTGTGTGTGAGAGAGCGTTGTTTACGTCGTCATTTGTTTCGTAAGAATGTGACTTCGATTTACCCTGGCTGTTGCATCGGACACCTCCTTCATGATCTGCTCGAACCGGGCTGTCTCCTCGGCCTGGCGATGCGTATGGAGCGCGATCTTCTCACTGAACTTCCTAGGGTTCGCCATGCTCGCCGAAACCGTGGCTGGGTTGGCCTGGCTCCTTTGCAACCTCCGCCTCCCTGTTGCCGCTGTCGCCGACTCCTCCTCCTGCTGCTGCCTCTAGGTCTGTCCTCTTCCACCAACCTCCTCCTCGTCGGCAGGACGCACACTCTGCAGGTCGCACTGGGTCACACGCACTTCTCCACTTCGACGTCTTCTCGGTTTTTCCGTGCCAGCCGCGGCACAAACAACTCACACAAACACTACACAACGGTGGACGACTGTCGCTCGCTGTCGTCCGACGACCGTCGCTCTCTTCAGGATGCAACCCCGGCCCCCGCATGGGGCGCACGCGCCGCCCGCGCACACCGCCTCTCGCCTACTTCACTTTAGTGCGGAACTAATCTGGTTTACTGCACAATTGGTGCACTATACCTTATAATAAATTACCACCTCAATTACAAACTAGCAGAAAACTACACCAATATGAACATAAAAAATCTTATACGATTCCATTTAAATTCCCAATCAGTAACTCAAACAATGTCGACTAATCCCAAAAAGACATATTTGTCCATTAACAGAATAATATAAAGATATAATTTACTTAACTTTACTTTTCCTAGCAATATACAAATAGCTATAATCTATCAGTTGTCTTTATAGTGAAGTATATTATAATTTGCGACTGAATATTAACTTTTCCTCTTTGAGGGGCGGTACATGCATTATTATAATTTATAGAAAATGTACAAGAAAGAGTTGGTATGTCAAGTGATGAATCTTGATAAGCCATACCATCCGATCTTGATTCAGTTAATGAATTTATCTGATTCAGTTGTCTAAAAAGTAGATGTTTAATAATTTTTGTCCCCTCAAAGAGTTAACTGTATAAATTCAATCATATTGAGCCATTGTCTTTGAAGTAAAATAAACGAACAAAATTTGATTTACGTTATTGAAAATAGCTAAATTTTCTAAAAATTTTGGAACACTTCCACTATTATTTTTTTATATAATTGGTATTTCTATTTATATCTTTTTCCCCACCATTTTTTATAATAATTATTTATTAGTCAAATATTAAAAAAAATAAATTCCCAAATATAGCATGTTATTATAACATTTCTTCTACATACTTATAAACTTATAATCATTGGAATATCAAAATCAAGAACATCAAATCTTCTAAAGACGAAATAAGTGATAATGTTTAGAAACCTAATGTTTACTCGTTGGGTGTCCGTAGTACATGAGGAATCCTGGGTCCGGCGCAGTGTGTCTCTCGGCACGACACTGACAAATTGCAACACTACTTATCGATTTTATGTTCAATGAGAATGTATCTAAAACGCTCATAAATGTATTAATATTAAATAAGCTATACATTATTTTGAATTAAACGATCAATTTTGGGTATCGCAACAAACTAAATAATACAATGCTGACGATTAAGTATATCTCCTACAAAACATTTATAGGGTGTTCCAGCAAGACCGGAAAATCTAATTTTTAAATAAAATTCAAATAATACAACACATCTGATAAATACCCTCTTCGACTTTACTTAGCACGACTTGAATAGCTGTGGGCTTGATTCCATAAATTTTTGACTTCAAAGAAACATGGAAAAAAAATCAAAAGCGTTAATTCTGGGCAGACAATTCTGGTCAACCAGGAATTGTCTCGTGCAATAATACCATTGTTTAACGTGATGTGTGGCCCCGTCCTGTTGGAACCACATTATACCATTTGAGTCACATAAAAGTGGGTTATTATGTCCAACAAAATGACGAACGGTAGCGTCATTTTGTTAGAAAACTCACCGTTCATTTGTTGTTGTTGTGACAGTAAAGCGATGGAGGACATTTAGCAGATGGATTTTATATATAATAGTAGTATGCAGATAAGACACAGAAAAAAAAATCTATATTTTTTATATATAAGTTAGCGTAATATCGTTATAAGTATGGAAAATGATAGAACTTATTGAATTGCCAGCAAAGATTTCAAAGCTGATAGACTTTCTTACTTATAATATATTTCTTTAAATCGATCTCAAATTTCATACAAGCACAATTTGTATGATTAAAAAAAATGTATTATACTAGTTATGATATTTCAGTTAGGATTTTTAAGAACTTGTGGAAATCTGTAATACAGAGATGTTTTGTTAATAATTCACTGATATTTTGAAATAATCAATTGTAAAAACTGATTTATTGTATATAACTATTAAGATAATGAGTCACAAATGTTTCTACTAAAGATCAAATAAGATTAAAAAATATTGCAAATCTGTTATTAATATACATACGAGTGGCTGATATAAAGCGATAATCAGTAAAAAATATGCTTGCATGAAATATAAATTAATTGTAAACAATTCTTTTGATTTTTATATTTAACTTTAATATAATTTTCCAATAATCACCTAATAAACCACAAGATCCTTAATATTTTCTGATGAGCAACTTCATATTTCTTTAATGTGCATATGAAATTCGTCAAATTGTGGAAATACCGGTTGATAAATTATTTATAATTAAATTATAATATGTCACAAACCACAACCGGAATTAACCAATTTTAGTCAATAAAAATTAATAAAAAATTCTTAATAAATCTTATAAACAATTACAATAGATATTGCCATTTTCAATCAAACAAGTACTGTTTTGTTTCTTATAATATCTTTGATTATTACTTTATAAACTGACTGAAAGTATGTACCAAAAAATAATTAACATTTTCAATTATCATCATTATCAAGATTTGACGATTAAAAATACTATTTATTGCAACAAATTTCCAAAATATAAAATAAACACAATAACATAAATCAAACTAAATTAAACAGCTGCAAAAGACTATAGATTTTGCTGCCCCTAAATAAATTATTATAAGAACTTCATTAATGCAAACCTAGACTCACCTACATATTATAAACTTTAATATCATACGCTTATCAACAAATGACATTATTCAGTTTTAATGAATACTAATAGTAATGATAGTAACTTGTCTTTAGATATCAAGATATTGATAATGGTCTAAAAAATATCATTTCAGGTGTGTTAAAGTTAGATATAAAGCAATTGAATTTATTTTGATAGCTTAAGATTTGATATATATTGATCTGTCACCATTTGCGACCCCCCAAAAATTTTCACTTTGAGAATCACTGGTTCAAAGGATAATGAAATATTGTTGCTAGTTTCGTGATCCAATGTGTTGCTATTTGTATAACTGGTTACATATTTAGACATTATCGAGGAATAATTGTAGTTTTTTATTTCGTTTCACAACTTTTATTTAAATCTATATTTGATACATGTTTCACTCCCTGAGTGTCATAATGCAGAATTGTTACAATTACAGGGAATTGATAAGTTTCCTTATAAAAAAAATCAAATGGAATGGCTTTCATTCACATTATTTAAATCGACAAATAATACTTTATCAAATCCAAAAAGGGGTAGAAAAAGGGCCAAAGAGATTTAAACACACATCATACAAAAATACACTCATTGATAAAAAGCCTTGTGATGAACTTTTTTCTGCAATCCTTCGATAAAGATATTAACACAAAATGCGAAATAAACGCGTGCTAAAAGAGTGCATTCAATTGAAACTTCCTGCATTACAGAGACGTTGGTGGAGACTAAGAGACACTTTAAATACCATTCTTAAGTAAAGTATTAATAAGAAATTATCATTTCATTGTTATTTCTGTATAATCAATATTTTATAAAATATAAATATTATTTTATTTAAAATATTTATTGGTCAAAATAAATAAATAAATTTGGTTTTTATGTTATGAATAACATTTAAATAACATAGATATGTAATGATGTGAAGAATATTTCTATATGCTTTAAAAAACACTATGGATTCATGGCTAAAAGATATAAATTAATACCGTCGCTTTTAGTATATGTTTTTGCGGTATAGAAAATGTAAAACAATCGCTAATGCTGTGCCATATATATGCTATTAACGACGTGAAAATAATTTATACTCAAATGAAAGCAACTACCTATTTTTCGGACTATAAGACGCACCTTTTCACAAAGAAAAATGGACTCAAATTTTGCGTCTTATGGTCCGAAAGTAACATTAATATATTTTTTTCAATAAATCGTCTCTAAATTTGAGGTGCGTCTTATAGTCTAAAAAATAGGTAATTCTTTTTAATATAAAATATAAACTTATTTAGATTTTTAAAATAATTCTGTTACATAAAAATATTATATGGACACAATAATATTGGTACTATTAAGAGAAATCTTACCATTATTAAACATATAGCGCCCCAGTGCCCAATGCATCTATTATTCTAACATTTAAATAATAACCTCTTATTCATCAAAAATAGAAATTTCTTTTTTTATAATATTTGTCCTCATATTTTTTTTGAGAAAATTTGGAACAAACAAAAGTATATATTTTTGTCTGTTCCAAATATTTATTTCATACCAAAAACATCAATTAGCATAATGATTTAATATGATGAAGGAAAATGAAGAACAAATAATCTAAAATATGTTCGTATTTATTCATCGTCTGGCTACATTAAGAGAAGGAAAAAAATACAAGTAAATCATTAAATCTTATTTCTATTTTCATCGGCATAAAAATATACAAATATCAGTTCAACTGCTCGACCGGCCTGAAGTGGTTCAACAAGTTCACCGTCCAATCACTGTCCACTCCTTTGGTATATTCTCTAACAAATCTATAATTACATATCGAAATCTTCTGCTGGTATTCAGGAATCATTCCCATGTTGATCGGTGGTTCTTCACCTCTCTCACGCATCTGGGCCAGGCCGCGCAAAGTGTGATACACCATTGTTACTTCTACGTAGCGCTTCTGGGGTTTACCTTCTTCCTCGTTAAAAATTACACCCACCTGCAAAAAAAAAAACAGAAATAGGAGAAGGTATACAGTATTTCGCATGAAGGAACACTGATAGAAGAAACCTTTTCTTAGCCTCTAACTTTTGTAAATTGTACAAAACATAATTTGGAACAAAGTTGGAAGGGTCGACTAGGGTAATCCTTTAGATTGTAAAAAAAAAACTTAGTTAAATATGACCACATTTATGTACAAGCTACAGTTAACATTTGTATTTTCGTTATTTCGTCAATTTTTTATGAACTGGACATATTGTTCAGAATATAAATATTTAACAAAAAAAAAATTATTAAACCCAAAATACTTGTTTATAACTTTTTATTTTGGTTATAAATTTCTTATAATTATATGGTTGAACAAACATTTTAAATGATTTATGTAAGTAAGTTTTCAGATAAGTTCTTTTTCTATAAACAAAACCAAGCAGCTGAAGCGTATTCCACAATTTATTTTCTACTCTACCTGCACCTTTTTACATGTGCTTTCTATAGAAACACATTTCCTTGCTACTTGCAACTTCCTATACAAAACTTTTCCCAATTCTAATTTCTAGAATAGTTTAGTTTCTATTGAAATTTGCAATACCTGTATACAATATTCTAGTTTCAAGTAAACTTCGTAACGCTAATCAATTATCGTTGCCAGTGAATCCCAAACTGAATTTAGTCTCAGTCCACTCAACTGTCTGAAAGCCATCAAGGAATAATAAAGTTACTCGAATTTCATGGAGGCACAAGTACAGCGCTGTAAAAGCTTTCATAATAACCAAACTTCCGTCGTGATTGCAATAGAAAGTTAAAGAAATAAATAATAGTCTTATAATACGATTTTCTAGTGAAAGCACTATAAAATCAGGAAGAATAAAAATGTAAAATGTAATTGCAAATTTAAATATTCTATTAATAGCAGCAAAGAAGCATAATTACTTTTCTATTTCTTATTATAATTATTACCTGCACTGAACATTTGAATAAATATGTCATATATTGAATAAAGAACTAAACTAAAGAACATTTGTTCAATCACACTAAATGTGTAATAAAATAGAAATAATTTTATAAAAAAAATCACAACTTGCATATTCACACAATTTTTTACCATTTGACCTCCTAGAAGGTTTAACACAGAAAGTAATGCTTTGTTTAAAAGAAATTATAGCAGTAGACTATCTAAACTTGTTAGATTTTGCACACCATATTTAAATAAATATTTCTTTCCTATATTGTTCAAATAAAACATGCAATTTTAATGTTTATAGTAAAATTTAAATCATAATATGAAAAAAAAAATCAATAATTAAAAAGTAGTATATCTACCTGATAAGGGAAAGAGAAGTATATGTCTTCTTTATTAATAGCTATTTGTTCACGTTGGGTCAGAGACATCAATGAGAGTGATGCTTGCAGTTTAGGTATAATGTCACCATCGACTAAACCATTCAATGTTTTTACATCTCCATTAGACAGTTGATTAGAAACCACCTAAAAAGAGAAAATAACAAATAACATTACACATCTTCCCCAAATCTGTGTTCTAATAGGTACCTACTTCCACAGCTTGTTTGGCACCAGAAACAAAGTCAGGCAAGTTGAAGTCTTTATCAAAGTACGGCTTAATGATGAAATGGGCCAGAATGAAGTTCCGCAGGGACTTGATGAGAGAAGGCCACACCACCTCAGGGAAGTTCATCAAGGGCGGCAGCTTCGCCTTGGTAGACACATCATTCTTATTATCATTGCTTTCACCACTGCATAGCCTAACTGCACCTATTTGAACCGAACGTTTTGAGGTTAGAGCGGTTCCATTTTGATACAAAGAAGGGCATCTACAAAAAGTGCTAAGACTCGCGGCACCGTTGATTCTAAAGCCGGGTCTCGCCGATCCGCGAACGCATCTCAAAATCAGATTCAAATTCATGTCTTCCTAAACATTAAAAAGAAGTTACCACTATGTACATTGGATTGTCAAAAAAAAATAAGATTTGTGCGAGTAGGTTTTGAGTTGGCAGCGCTGCTTGTTTTGAATACAGTTAGTCTTCGTATAACGCGGTCTTATAGAAGTACCGCGTTATATAAATCGCGTTATCTGAGACTCAGTCAACATAGAAGACGTAGAATTACTTTTTGTTATATAATAATATAAACGGATAAACCTATATGGTTTTACGCATTATTACTGCAACCCAACCCCAATCAAAAAATAATAAAATTTCACACAATGAATCCAAACTTTGGTTAATTTTTGTCCCAACCAGTGTCAGTCTAAGATACCTCATATTAGTTCATAGCCTCCAAAGATAATTGAACTTTTATTTGATTATACTTCTGTATTTTTTTTTTCATTTTTCCATTATTATTCTATAATTTTATATGTAAGATTTATCACTTTTATCGAAATTGAAAGTAATTTAGAAAAATAAATGTAATTAATAAAATTTTAAAATAAAAATCAAGATAATTGATAGTTATTTGAAAAAAAAAACGCTTTACATATTAATTACGTACATGTAATTATATAATAGATTAACAAAAATATGATTTTTAATGTACATTCCAGGCATAATACTGAGAAAAACTTCAACAATCTATTGTATAATAAATATTGTTAGTACATTTTTTTTGGAATGGTAGATAAAAAGTAATTTGCGTAGATTTATAGATTGCGTTGTACAATTATTGCGTTATACGAGGTTTTACTGTAATTGTTTTAATTTGGTTTTAATACATTTGTTCAAGTTTGGTTTATGATTTATTTTAGGAATTACGTTTGCTTTGGTTTCATATTTGTACCTTTAAATAGCTGTAGTATTTAAGCCAAATAACTTCTTTATGATAAACTTCTATCTGGATGAGCTTTACGTATTGATAATATTGTTTATTAATAATTATTGTTGTAGGCAGAAATAGTGACGTAAATGAAAAATATTGTTAGAGTATGTTTTGACTAAGTTCCTGTTTGTAGAAATACCTTTATAGATTTAGTTTGCACAAGGAACATCTGACCTTTTTGTTGTTGCTGTTTTAAAGTTTGAAGTTGGCGGCTTGTCTACGTGGGTGTGCGCATGCGTCGCGATCAGAGTGACAGTGCAGGTGAATGCGCAATGGTGTTGGTAGGTCCAGCTGTTTGGAGTTGGTGATTCGTGGGTGAGAAGAGAGCGGTGTGTGTGCGAGGATTGCTTTGTCTTGGAACGTCCTTTGCGTGTGTCGTCCTGCCTTCTAGTTATTCAGTTGTGAAACTCGCTGAGAAACGGTCGCAGAGTACTGACGAAGTAGGTCCGAGTTGGTTATCCTCTAGCAAAGCAGTCTTTCTGATCCTTTTTGTTTTGCTCTTGTAGTCTTGAATCGTCTCCGTCAGTGTTGGCCGCCGTGTGGATAATCTCGCTCCGCAGTACCAGTCCTTTTCCCCTTTTATTTTATTATTATTTTTTTATATTTTCGTTCGCTACGGAACCAATGGCGTCATCGCAGTGTGCCTAAAAACCGAACAGAAGCAGCGTTTCCTTTTGTTTGAATCCTTCGGTTTTTTCTATTTGGCATTTCCGCATCTCGCAAAGATAGTTCTGTGGACGGCAGTACAGAGGGAGAGAGAGAGCTAGAGAGGAAGGCATCGGGAAAGTTGTGAGTGTGGAGTATTATAATAAAAGTCCGTGGAATATGGCAGCGACGAGGACGAACTGTAGCGCTCTGAGGGCCCTCGCCGTGGAGTACAAATCCTTGCAGGAGGAGCCCGTCGAAGGTTTCTGCGTCAAACTCGTCAACGAGGATAACCTATTCGAATGGGAGGTCGCGATTTTCGGGCCCCCGGACACCCTCTACATGGGCGGCTGTTTTAAAGTAAGTACCATTTCCAAAATAATCTAAAATTTTTATACTTTTCCATCCTGTCTTGTGTTTTTTTTTAACCATATTGTCATGAACCGCTGCAAAAGCAAACAAACCTTTGTTTGTATCGCTACGAACGTCAATGTAAGGTGAAATTACAAGTTAATTGTTTAGGCTTCGCAACGAAAATAATACAAAAACAATGAGTAACGACAAATTGTCATATAGATTTTCACTTACGTGTTTCGTGATCGATGTTCATTACAAAAGGCCCTCAATTAAGATGTTTATTGACAGATCAATACCACACAATGTTCTTAATTAATTTACGAATTTCCACTTCCAAACCATACATTGTTTGTATTCCAATAATTATTTTGATTGTTAAGATAAAATGATATAGCAACTTTGTTGCACGACATTTCTCAGCCACGATCATAAATAAATAATTCTAATGCTCTAATTACTATACAATTATCTATAATCATTAAAAATAAGCATTCAACATTTCGATATGATTCATTTACTACAATTATATTAAAACATTAGTTAAATCTTCATTTATACATTCACCAAAACTTTACAAGCTAATGTATATAAAACTATTATTACAAGAATACTTCACAAATAATCCCAAGCCAGTGTTTATTAAACTAATTATATTAAAGTTGATTTTAAGTCAACTTTTTAAAAACAGGTAAACAATACTCGTTTAAATGGGTCAACTTCGATAAAAGTATTTTTCAATTCACAATTTTCGAATAATAATACTCGTGAATATTTTATAAATACAAATACGTGAATTGTGGAATGCACCGTTGTATTGATATTTCACTATTGTATTAAATATATATTAAAAGTTAGAGATTTTTTTTAAGACGATGACCTGTTTTATATTAAAATAACTCTGGTATACTAAGAATAGCCTTTTCTAAAATAAGATAATATCTAAAGGATTAAATGAATATGTTAATTAATAAAGTTGGAGAATTTTTATTTTCTTTTTTCAATTTGCACTATAGAAAAATAAATGTCAAGAAACGCTGGTACTTATTTTTTGCTGTACACATACATATATAGTACACATGTGATATTTTTGCTATACGACGCCTTCGATTTTTTTGGCATGGCATTCAATGTTTTCCGCTTAATATTTCATACTGCTTTTCGATTTTCCTCACGTACATTTTCACCAAGACGTATAAACAAACAATTTCGAAACAATACCTATGTTATGATTATGATATTTTCTTTGTAAAACTGTATTTTGATGTTTACTCATATTTAAATAAACACTTGATTGTACGTGGCGAATGTTAACAACACGAGTCGTTAATTCGACTAAGGTAGAGCAGGCCAATATCTTTTCTACTTGAGTGGAACTAAGATTATTTGCAAATGTTACAATAATATTAATATAAAGACGAAGGAGCTTGACCTAAAAGTTGATATCCAGATGTGAGAAACCTCATAACAAATACAGATTTCTATAATCTGTTCAAACGGTTACTTAATTGAATTCAGTCAACTGAATATACCGTTCCTCGTTAGATGCAAGGGCAGAAAAATCCCCCTTTATAAAGCTCGGTCCAGTGACTTCAAAAACGTTATAATGAGATTTGGTTACACGTTTTACGCTTGGTTGATTTATTATTAAAATTTATAATTAAAGTCTTGTGATACATTTCTATATTAAATAAAATTCAATATTTAATAAAATCCTAAATAATTTGTTGCTAATATATACTTGATTCTACATAATAGAATTATTTTGGAACAAACGATTGCAAAATTACATTGCATTTTACGTTGTTTCAGTTTAAGTTTCTATATTTGTTCAAATATATAAAAACTGTATAAATATATACAAACAGTCTTATTATACAGAAGTTATGTAAGAATGTAGTTATATATTTAATTAATTAAATTTGGATTTTATCCAAATTTGTTACATAGCTGTTGTTTAAAGTAACGTTTCTCAGATATGTGAGTACGCAAGCAGTTTGTATTTGGAAACCCTCTTTTTTACTTGAAGGTTTTAACAGGTATGAATTATCTTATTAAATAATGAATGTATATGATAATAGAACATACAATACCAAATGTTAATAGTTCCAAGTATATTATGAATGTATTCATTACATTTTTAACTTGTTATGTATCAATGCTCGTAACTAATTAATGTAAACCCAATTAACGCATCTTTATTTTTCGGACTCCTAGATTATGCAACAAGAACGTCCTTTCATTTCATATTCCGAATACACACAATTTCATCATTGTTAAGCGAAGGTCTCTCCAAGTATACAATTCACTTGTGATTTCATTGAAAGAAGACACAAAGTTCCATCTAAATAAGTTCCTTTGACTTCCAAGGTGTTCCGTCCTTATACGTTTTCAATATACCTTATATTATACCTTAAATTTCTCTTTAGAAAATTAATATTAGTTGCTATAAGTTCAAGCATTAAGTAATGCTGTAACCTTCTTAACAGATCTGTATTTGCCATTAGCATTTTAAATGAAATGTTAACCAAATGTGTTTTTTTTATTAAAATATATGTATTTGACAGATAAAAACGATATTATCAAATCTTGCTAATTAAAAATGTATCGATTGTTTTTAATGATTGTCAATTGCACGTGTTCTAATATTAATTAATTTTTCCTCGTGTAAATGGGTTATTTTCTACAAACGGAACGTTCAAAGAGAAACGGGAAATCATTAATTAATTTGATTTGTCTGATTAATTTCGGAAATATCACATAATTTGATTTACATAATAAATATTTCTTAACATGTGAACATAAACTAGTTTTATTAGTGGAGTTTGAAATATTTTGCACATACAATATCTTTACCTTTATTTATATATTTGAGCAGAAAGTTTATATGAAGTGAAGAGTTTTGGGTTCCTTTTTATTCTATATATTTAAAATAAAAAGCATTTCCGAAGGCTTTCCTCTTCTTAAATATTACCTACAATATAGATTCATGCATGTGCACCAGTAAAACACTAGTATTACTAGACGCAAGGTCGTAGTCATCTAACGTTATCGACTGGATAATGATATCAATTATTCTCAAGGTGTATACTACAAAACCTAGTCTCGTTTCTTCAATTATTTAATATAATCATTGTTAATATGTAACAACATGTTATGTGTCAATTTCATAGAGATTTTATTTTGGAAGAAAGCGTAAAATTACACAAAATATTTGATGTTTCACAATCCGCGTTTCCATTTATTTACTGTTCTGACAACATTTGACGCTTATCATATATTTGTTGACACACCGATAATGGGCGAACGCTAATCAATACAGATCAGTTTTTGACATAGGTCACATGTTCTCAGATTCTTACATGTTCAGATTGTTTAGCCTTGCACATGGCACATTGGAACATCGTCCATCTACCATATGTGCTATCAGATTTCAAGAGTCTTCTGTAATTTCAGAAAACATTTTCAAAATATCCTCAAATATCCAGAAGAGCTATTCAATACCAAAAAAAACCTACTTATAATACAAAATACTGAAAATATTAGTAGATAAATTTGCTGTAAAATGATTTTTATAAATTCAATTAATGTTAGTAAGAATGAAAAAAATGTATGTAACATTTGAAAGAATTCATAAAATTGAATTACATCAGATTTTTGAACATATTTATTTAATGCCATCTAATTATAAAAAAAGAAACCGGATCTTTGATATTAAATTGTATTTATATTAAGATAAACCTATCAAATATTAATTTATTTTTATGAATAATTTCCATAGTGCGTTACACGAAAAGAGGAATTAATGGACTGTAGTTTTTCAATTACATTTTAATTGTTGTTCTATTTCTTTGATTTATCACTTGTACATTAAATTTAATAGTTACTTTCTTCGCGTTAATTGATATATCCAGATATAATTATCTGCTGCACATGAAAATGAAACTTTCTCGTTATTAGTTCCTACAATTGTTGCATATGATTGTTCCGAATGTAACGTTCCTGTTATTTATAGGAAACGAGTTGTATAATTCATCGCTTATCGTGGGTCTTAATATTTTGTATTCACCAATATCAATAAATGTCACTTAATAGTAAAATATACACTTTGCGATGACTCAAAAAGTCAAATCATTCGAACACAGGCCTTTCTCATCAGTATGATGGATTTCGGTCTGGTTAAAAATGTACGCAGATGGTTTGTGCATTAATCATCTCCCCCCGTATGGATATGAACGTATTTCGAGTCTCGTTTTCTATTGTTCATGGTATTATTCATGCTTGAGGACCAAAGCTCTTTTGCATTCATCCCCTTTCCTGTATTGCCGTTCATGTGTTGTCTCCTACAGCGGCGTGATCTTCTTCATTCCCTAATTGTATCCCAAACTAATTTCTAATTTGTTCTCTTATTACTTTCAGGCTCGTATGAAATTCCCACAGGACTACCCGTACTCTCCACCGACAATTAGATTTTTAACTAAAGTTTGGCATCCGAATGTATATGAGGTGAGTTGTATACTTTTTTTTGTTATTTCCCATGCATAACATATTTCAACAATGCGGATTTGCAGTTGACACTGTAATAATGCACGACTTGTTTTCACGAAGGCTTTTAGAAATGCACGTGCGTAATCCTATATATGGACTCGTATATTCCAAAAAAATAATATATAAATAATATTTTTAATGAATATGGTGATATTTACATGTAACCTCGCTTTCTTGTGTTCAAGAAAGTAATTTATTTCTAAAATACTTCCAATTACTTATTCCACTTTCCTTGATTTCAACATGACTACTCTAACTTCTCGTGTCGCAACTAAAAATGTAATTTAATTAATACATATAAATTACACACGAATTTAAGAAATTATAAGACAAACATTTACATTTTTTATATTTATAATAATTTGTCATTTAAGTCAGTTTAACTGATTCAAAACTTAAACAAGTTATTTTGAAAAGTAATCAGTAACCAAATAAAATTGTATACTGTTATTTACTAATCATATGCCAATTGAAATAATATCGCAACTTTTTTTTATTGAAAAATTGTATATAATCAAATTGTTTGTACTTTATTAATGGAGATTTCAGAGCTTTTGTTTTTCCCCATTGTTTGAGAATTTGTTCGTTTGTTACTATTTTGTGTTGTTAACTACGTGACTCAGTATTCATTAGAAATATTTTCAATTACACGTGACACAAGTGTTTAGGTTTTCCTGTACTTATAAATAATTCCCGGATGGAATATAGAGAACATAGAAATATAATTCTTGAATATCTACACGCGAATACAAAAATTTACACCCAGTGAGCAAATTGTGTACGAGTATTAACTTGATCCTACAATTCCGTTCCGTTATTAGCACACTTGCACACCTTTGCCTACTTTCTAACTGCTACCGTTCTTTTTTTTTATTCTTATCCATTTTTTTGTTCCATGCTCAAAACAATACCCATACAAAGTGTTTTATTACGTTATTATTTCATAAATTCAGACTTCCTACATCGTAAATCTCGTTGCCGCAGAACTGTATACATAGTGTATAACTTTAGGAAGTGTTTCGACATCTTTACTTTGATAAAGCACATCTTTCATTTGGCTATATGTAGGTCGTCATTCAGAAAAGGCCTATTCAAATTACATAATTTAGTACAAATTAATAGTTTGTCGGTGAACATATACTCTTAATTGATATACCGTAAAATCTTGAATATAATATGTATAATTTTAGCACCCAAAAAACAGTATTTTCAATAAAGAATAAACGCACGTACAGATGGGATAGTACCAATAATTTGGCCCTAATTAAAGTAAGCGCATTGTACACGATATAGTAATTAATTTGAAGCTAATTAATTTAAAGTAAAGTTTTCTACTTATCCGCTCAAATACAAAAATGTTATGCATTGTTCATTGTTATTAATACTTTACGTAAGTAGTTCAAAAACTCTTCTCGCGTCATTAAATGCGGTTCGTAACTGTACTATTATCTTAATCAAATACACGATACCGTAAATTAGAAGGTATTAATGTAAAGCAACAAAGAGCCATAATATTCTATATGTTGTTGTTGGAACAGTTTGAGGTTGCATTTGTGTCCACCGATGGTGTTGTGAAACTTCATCTTTCATAACGTCAATAGCAAAGTTTCTTTCTATACGAGTAATCTTCACCTACTTCATAATCTAACGAAAATGGCTAAACTCACTTTAAAATGTCTTTAAACTTAATATATTATTTTATATAAACATGATAAATGTAATTGAAATCCGGGTGATACATTTAAAAGGTGTTGAATATATGAATGCTATTGTTGTAAATGGAAAATAGCCACCTTTTATAAGTGCATTGAAATATGAATTGTAATTGTTGCGATATGAATGTTGCTCGGTAAATAGACCGAACAGAAGTAGATTCAGATCGAAGTGGACGAAAGCAAAAACGTGCAAGTAGTCTAGAACGCGGTGAAAGTTATCAATATAATTACAATACCGTTACGACACGGATACACATTTTGAGAATGACAAAATTTGCTTACATTTGCAACGTACGCAACTCTTGAAACGATGGCGTGGGTCTTCCAATGCATAACCAAAGTCATCAAAATCGAAAGTTTAATCAATTTTACATTTTTTATTATTACTAGTAGTTTTATAATAAAAACAATATAAACTGAAATTTTTAACCCAAAAATCAATGGTAAAAATATAGTTTCACCACTAATTTCGATGTATTTGGTTTTTATACATGGTTTTTCACTTTTAAGAAGAATTGTCTTATAAAACTTCCAGGTTGTGAATTTCATTAGTTTCCTGAAGCATTATTTCAAGTTTATTTTTAAGTGTGAAAAATTGTACTTCGAACTTTTCCTTTTCGTTTAACTCGGTTACGTTCCCTTGGGCATGAGGTTTTAGCTGTTCACAAAACCGTACATGGCTCGTTGTTCTCTATTGGGACAGCGTTTCCTCTGCTTTAGATTGAATTTGGCAGAGATTCTCAACAAAAAAAATATTTCTATTGTACAGGGTAGCCCGTGACGCTCATTATTCTTATGTCATTTATACAAAAAACGCTTTGGTCTGTTAAATATAATTTGTTTGTTAATGAAGTTATGGATTAGTTCGTGTTATGGACGTTAAGGAAACAAAGGATTTTATTTTTTGTAGGTGACTACGTAAATTGAATAGAGTTGCAGTTTTAAATTCACGCACAGTCACTGACACATTTCACACGGCTGAAGGACCTCCTCAGATGCTATTTATCATGGTTTTGTAGTTATTAATAGTGAATTATATGTTCCTGCAACGTGTATCTGTTTAATTCAATTTATAAACGTGAAATTCTATATTAAAATCTGGTTAGGATAAAAGTTATTTCAATGAACCACAAACATGTATTTCTTGTGACGAACGTAGACTCACTTTAAACAAAGCCGGGCGTCTGCGAAAACAAAATAATCAAATTGTTAGAAATTTAACAGAATTTAGCATCATAAAAAATAGTCTTTTTCAAAATTTCTTCTTTTGATAATGACTACTAATATTATTTTCATAGAGTTGATGAGACTTTTTATGTGGAATAAGGATATGAGAAGAAATACTGAGTCTCTTATACACGTCCGTTTGTTTATTACTTACGTGCAGGTGTTTTGCCTTAACTGCGGATATATTATACCTGCATCAGCTCTCTCAAAGTTAAATATTTTTATTTTTGTAACCGCAATTTATTCATGACTCTTAATGACTTGAATATCAACGATCATCATTCAATATAAGTGTTTATAAACCTATACTTTATTTCTATATAAATTAATTGTTTTTTAGGGCAATTCATATTATTAATAGAATTATAAATGTCCATAGCTTAGTGAAAAATAATATTTCATATTATTTTTTAATAATTTCTTTAATATTGTCACTAATATAACATATATGTGAATTATCATTAGTTGAATTATTGGAACATTTTAATTTTCTTTTGCAAACTTTCACTTTTTTTTTTATAAATCTTTCCCTTTTCTTCTTTTACATTACCAAATAACAATTTAAAGGTTTCGAGTAATGTGCGAAGATTCTTCCGAAAGTCTAGACACGTCCGTGCTTACAAAAACGAATTAATTCTTGTTTGTTTTCTTTCTTCTCGTTTCTTGAAGAAAACATGCACGAAAATAGGAAACGCGGCAATTAAATATTATTATCATATTTTGTTTAAAACTTTTCTTGTTTATTTCATCCATGGATGTTCAGAAATATTTATTGTATTCCAGTCTGAACTCCCGTTGATCACGATTTTAGAATATTTATGTGACTACTGTCGGCAGTGGCTCAGCTTAGCAGCAGCAGCAACCTTGGCAGATCGATACTTGGCATTTGATAAATATTTTCAGCTAGGCAAAGCAGTCAGCAGGAATAATAATATTATAAGCAAATACATATAAAAATGCGAACGGGAAACAGATAAGTGAATTATTTCGCTACGGCTTTATTCTCAAGGCCCACTTCCTTATGAGTTTCAATATTTATGGATCGAACGGGTTATTACATAGAAACCATTTCCGTTGATATTGCATTGGATTTCGATCTCTTCGGAGTAAAATTTTGCAATTCGTTTAGTCATTCCTGGTTTTTCATTTATATAATTATTACATAGATTGACTTCCTTAATTACTTAAGATTGTTCTACACTTTGTTAGAAAATGTATACATGTGATCTAGTATTACAAAAGGCTATTCAAAAACCTTGTATTACGTAACCTTATACTTTAGTAACATAAATCGCCGATGATTCTCTTTGTACCATGTGTGAACAGGAATCAGTACTCCATATTCTGATACATAGTACAATTTATTTCTGACATATTTTGTAAATTAAAACTTACTGGAGAAGACAATTATGTTTAAATGAAGTACCAGTTCCTCTGCTGTTTAAATAGTATATTCAAGTTTCCTCATTCTTCTCCATGATATTTGATCTGTTTTATTCTTGCGTAACGTTTTTTTTTTGTTAGTCTTCCTGCTTATTCAAAAAAAATTAAAAATGAGTGAAGGTTATCGACAAAATATTTGAGGTTTTTGGACAAAATAAGTTTTCGTTTCAAATCTTTTGTTACAGTAATGAAATTCTATATTGAGAATCTTAAGCTATATAATTTAAAAATGAGAACAACTTTAATCGAGATTGATTCATCCTATATGAATTAATATTTTAATTTTAGTGGAAACCAAGTTTATTATTGCTATATACATAAGTACAGATGAGTAGCAGAGATAAGTGTAGAAAAGACTAATTTTATGGTCGTTGAATGAACGAAAAATTGTGTGAATTTAGTTAATTGGAACGTGTTAATGGTCGGCTGAGCGTCCAAGCATCAGCCGGACGTGTTTGTTTGCGAGTGTAAAAAGACCTTAAAAGGCAACGTCCTTACCGAGTCAACGGCTTCGAGGGAGACTCACAGCTGGGAAAGAGCTCTACAAGAGAGAACGTGCTCCGGGGGTCAGGTTAACCTTCGTATGACTCCTAATTGTCCCGGAAACGGAATTAATTGCTCAACGGTAGATAATTCGACACACCACAGCAACAGCAACGAAACCAAAAAAGAAAAAGACAGATCTACATTTGCATTTGAAAAATCATGTATTACAGACTGGATCATTCTGCGTTGTCCTGCAGTCTGCGTTTCTTTTTTTTTTGTATTCTTCTTTTTTTGTGTTCGAAGGTTGTTGCTCTCCTCGTGTACATTTACCTCTCCGAATGTGAATAGCCTCAAGTTCGTGGAGACGTACAATGTGAAATTAGATAATCCAATGTCGGGGGATATCGTCTCTGATGCGTAGACAACGGCTACAATTTTCAGACGCGATAAATTTTATACCCACAAGGTTGCATCCGGTTAAGGAAAAACTACAAGTGGAAAAAGGTAGACGGTATAAAAATAAATAAAAGAACCGAAGAGCAGGTAAAATAAATGTGATCGATGAACCTCTGGCTTTACATTTTCATATTATATTGTAATAAAAAAAACATCATTTACTGTATTTAAACAACGTTAATCTTCGCATATTTTCAATATGTAACAATTTCTTAAATTGGTATTTCTATGAAACACATAAGAATTGAAAAACGCGTACATTTTACGGATTCAACAATTGTCGCTTTTGTAATTTTTTGTTCCGTCATTAATTTGTGATGTATTTTAACAGAATAATAATCATAATTTACTAAGAACTTCAATAACATTATTGCAATAAAGTAGTAAAAAACATTATTTTATACATAAACTTTATGTATATTTCTATATTCTTAATTGCTCTTTGCTTACGTCCCAATGGATTTCCTTCAATATGAAGTAGTTACAGAAATTTAATGTAGTATAAGAGGAAACGTACGGACAGTTCGGAAACGAGCCTTGCAATCAATTACTTAATCGGAAAACGTGTGTCACGTTGCACCGTTTGATGACGTGCACATTTCCCTTGAAACAACAACTTGCTGTTACGATAAAGAATATTTCGCAACAGTTTCTCTAAACTCCGGCTGCTGAATTTGCTTGCTACACGGCACGTTCCATATTTTTTTCTTTACTTTTTTTGGTACTCGAAAATGCACGTTGGAGTCGGAGAGACCGTATTTCGTTGCAACGCCCAACATCTGTGCATTAAATATTTCGAACTTCAACAGAGATGATGTTTATAGATGTAGTAGATGATGTATATACTTAAGGGGGTCGAAGCAGATGATGTGGTCACCCCGTGCTGAGCTAAATATGATGTCCCCTGCAAAGCGACAATAAAACTGTTATTCGAATAATGATGATTAATTATCTGTAGATTATTATATAACGTACAAAACAATTTGTCGCACTTTACAATTATTAAATAATTAGTTTATTTTCAATATAACCGTACCGAAGAGTAATAACCGTCAAATAATACAATTCCAGAAATTAATATCATTAATAGCCTTTTCAAATTAGTATTCCCAATAACACGAAAAGTCCTTCTAGTTTTTCATCAACAAATATATAATAGAATTTATATTGTTTTTCTAAACTTCTATTGCATTGCAATTTTAAAGATTAAACTGAATCCTTAAGCTGGAGAAATTAATCAATTTAAAGTGATATATAAAAATGGATAAAAACTGACTCTGTACAGTTGTAAAAATTGTAAATTGTAAAAATGAGAATGTTACAATAGAAGCTTCAAATTTGGTAAATGTATACATTTACTGAAATAAATGAGACAATGATAAATGAGACAATTTTTAGAGATAAAATAAATGTAAACGAAAAATGACGCACCACAATTGCATGTTTATTTTTCTACGACTTATGGTCAGAAAAATGCTATATGTACAGATTAACCTACAATAACAAAAAATATAAATAGTTAAACAGCTATGAGTAAACGTTTAGTAATATTTTTTGAAATAGAATTCATTTTGTCAAACTCACACAGTTTTGGATTAGTTGGATTTAAACTAATTCTATTAAGATTAAATTATTACTAAAAGTAGATTTAATTGCTTTTGAAACAACTACTTAATGTGTATGTAACTTGATCAGCATTATTGATAACTCGTTTTTTATGTATCAACAACAAACAATGTTACTTGTATGTTATTTGTAAATATGTTTGTAGCAGTTGCGTAAATTAAAATAATACAGAAACAACAATTTCAAAATATTTGTTTACGCTTCCTGAAATAGAATCAAATTAAAACAACATCGTTAATTATTTATTGTATGAAATGTATGATTTTAAATTGAGTTATAAATCAAATTAATTATTTGCTTTATGTAATGGTATAATTTTGCGTTTGAATTTAAAAATGCATTTGGTTTTTATTTAATAAACTTTGGTCGAATAATTGCGGTCGACGGCATTTTCGCTGCTCGTATCTCGCAGTTATCAGTGATTATTGTTTTTTAACGTTATATTCATATTCGTAATATATAAAGATAATGCCGTAATTTGAGCTATACTTTGGCAAACAAGCGCATTGATGAAATTTAATAGTATTGAGATATAGTAATGTAGGTTAATATGGCGTGACTATTGGCTTATGCGCTTGTTATATTTTTTATTGAATATAATGGCGAGGTGAAAGGAACACGAATCGACCTATATAAAAGTACCCAGGATTATATTTATATAGGTCATCGTTTGACCTTTCGGCTCGATTCTCCTGCAATGCACGCGCAGACACGACTTCAACATCATACCTCTCCTGCGGTTCAGAGGTATGAGGAGAGGAGAAAGACGACGGGTCAAAAGGAAGTAGTCCCGAGCCTTGGAATTCTTTCGTCGGCAAGCCGACACGTTCGGTTCTTTGTCCCGGAGATTAACAGCATACTAATTCTCTCCACCAAACAAAACGAGTCAACAAACTCGAGAGGGCAGCCAGATACGATCGCCGGACACGGCCGGCTGAGACGATGACTAAGAAGGCAGACCTATTTTCGTGTGTACCTGCTGCTCCTCTTCCTCCTCTTTACCTCATTTCTGATACCTTGTATTTAATTGTTTTCTCTCTCATCTCACGTATTTATTTCTCTTTGTGTTTCAGAACGGTGATTTATGTATAAGCATTCTTCATCCACCAGTAGATGATCCGCAGAGCGGAGAGTTGCCCTGCGAACGCTGGAACCCGACCCAGAATGTCCGCACCATTTTGCTCAGTGTAATCTCGCTGCTCAATGAACCAAACACCTTCAGCCCCGCCAACGTAGACGCCTCCGTTATGTACAGACGCTGGAGGGACTCCAGAGGTCGCGACAAAGAATACGAAAACATCATAAGGTACTTTAATCAATTCCTGCAGCTGGTGAATTAGCATTGGTATGATTGAACAGGTCGATTTGAATGAATATTTCTTTATCTGTATCTTGATACGGCATTCTGTAAAGGAAAAACCTTTGTTTAGTATAAATGATATGATATGATATTGCATATGACAGTTTATTCGATTCGATTGAAACTTCCTTGTATAGAGACACAAAATTGTTCTATAAGGGAAGAACCATTAAGAAATTATCGCAAATAAGAGATTTCACCGACTCAGTTTACAGTGGAACCTTGGTTTGCGAGCATAATTCGTTCCGGAAACGTGTTTTTAATCCAAAGCATTCGTATATTAAAGCGAGGATGCGAGACGAATACCCACAATCTCTATTGCTATACTTGGATTACAAAATCTTAAATTAAAAAATACATTAGTAGAAAGAAATTAAATTAAACTATACTTATATTTAAAATATGTTTACTATGATTGGTTCATTATAACTATGTTTGGGAAAATAATATTGCAAATAACCTTTGAGATTTAATTACATGGATACCACGCAGAAACTATCACTACCCTTTCCATTCTTCGATTTGATATGACGTTTGTTTTAGCTATGCAGAACGAAAACAAACATCATCAATGACTCCTAATGACTCTTCCTACATTATTTGTTATTTTGCTTTATAATGAACCAAACTATTGAAATGTCAGAACTACATTCTTCGTCAACAACATTTTGGTTAGCGAATTTTATCGATCTTTTCTAAAACAAATTACATTCTGCGGTAATTTAGAATCGGCCACCGGGTATCCATCCCGCCTCTTCTGAGCATCTAAATGTATGCAGCCGATTCCAGGTCGATTTAATTTTAGACCAGGGTTATTCGAATTCCTTCGTAATTCCCTCCCATCAAAAAACAAGAAAGAACACGAATCGATGATATAAATATTCTTCAAATATTTGGATATAAATTCTTTACATTCGCCAACAGTTTTTCTTTTTGTAATAGCTACTATATTATGACGAACTAAATTATTCTCTTCTTCGCTTTATCACGAATCTGTTATATAATGTTGTGTAACGAACGGTGACATATTTGGTTCTACTAAAGTCACGTATTTCGAGTTTGTTCAGTGAATTTCTATTAAAATACTTATGGGGTGACTTCTCAGAAGTTAAGCTGTAGCATGTTAGTGTTTTTGTATTATTGAATATTAAGTAAATTGCAATATTCTTTCAACATTAAATACAATATTTCAAGGAATCTTAACTGATTTCTAATGTATTCATATTAAGAAGCTTTCCTATGAATATTCAGTATGTATGTGTTGTTTGTTATATATAATTGCTTAATACTTTAACTATAACTTCACATAATAAAAAATATACGGTTCTGATAAAGCATTATTTATGCTGAAAACATCCATCATTTTAATAGTTGTACAATAAGCAAATTTGCTACCAAAAAGATGTATGATAATGCATAGTATTTATTTTATCAATAAATATTTAAACGCCAAAGAAACTCGGAATTTATTAAACGGCATTATCTATCTACACGTGAACCGTTCGCGAAAACAAGTTGGTTAACTACGTAGTTCTCTCCCATTGAATAGGATTCGACTTTAGTAAACAAAACAAATGCGATCTTGTCCAAGGTATTTCAGATGCACATTTTTTCCGATTATCTCTTTGTCGCGTTGATCACAACAAGGTTTCGGCCTTCTCCAAAACTGGCAAACTCATTCCTCATTACAGCCGTATTCTATATCTGCGATGCATTGTGCACATATGCATATATATAAGTATATACGTATATGATCTTTGTGCTTTCATTATGATTTGATCTTCGCTCAAGGTGAGATGAAGCAGCCAGCACGGTGAACCTCGTCGACGAGGTCACGGAATGAAAACAAAAACGCAGTATAACATAAACGATATTTAAAAATTGAAATCGAAAGCGTCACATGTGCACTGTACTGTATGTGTGTTTATATCCAGTCGTTCAGAGTTTGAGTATCTAATTAATTACTTCTATGTTGTTTATTTTGAAGCGAGTTTGCGAGGAGATTATGATAATTGCAATTTTTCGTTTAGGGTGTTTTTTTTTATTTCGGAATCGTCTGATCGCGTGATGATGCGTCTTGGTTTGTTTTTATTGCACGGGTCTGTTCGTGGGAATGTCCGTCGGCGAAAAATAGACGAAAACCGAGAAGGGAGTGTATTAAACTCCCAATTCCGAAAGCATCTATCGTGCAATGCGTCGCGACGCTATTTATATATATATATCTACATGTATGTTTCACATTTTTGTTAGCGCTCGGTATTTTCATATGTTCGCATACAATACAAATTACGCAAATGCAGATAAAGTAAACGTCTTTGCCATTTTAAATATATATATTACACTAAGTTTGTAATAGTAACTTTAGGAATTGGCTTATCATTAAATGGCATTCAATTTAATCCTGTTTGATTTGTACATACATTTAAATATACCTTTTTATATCCTGTTTTCAATTAGTAGACTATACTACTACTACTTATTGGAAGACATTTTCTTCAATTTATATTTCATCTTATCAGCATCAACCATAATTGACATCCAATTTATATATGATCATGAAATGTATTAAGTTAAAATTTTCATTCAACGTTCAATCATAACTGCTATATTGTAATCATATTATTAAGCCTCTATTGAGTACTGTAAGATCTTCATATATTAACATCATCGGAAACTCTCACTTCAATAAAAAAAGCAATACTTCAAATATTAAATTACTTGAGAAATAAATTAAACTTATTAAGAGTAAATTACAGTCGATTCCGCTTAATCGGGACTAGTATATTTATCCCTCCGATTAAGCGGATGGATTTGCCCCTAATATGCGGAATCGACTGTATCGAATAACCATCATATTTCTGCTTTTCGAAATGTAACACGAATAAATACAAGAAATTCTCATTCCCCAATTCTAAGTTTATTTCTCTTGTCTTATAGTTTGAAAAATAGGAATGGAATATGTTATGGAAAAAGAGAGTGTATGTTGGAACATTTGGTATGTTGTTTGTTGATGTTTCGATGGAGAGAAGTGATGCTTGAATAATTTTGGCTATGCAGATACGATTTATTGATCTGCCATGTAACATGGTTATAAATCGTTGACGTTATATAAGCGCATAGTGAGTGCGTTTTGGTACAGGCTGATTAAAATTAATTGATGTTATGCGTGGTTGGGCGAAAGTTTCAATATTAAATCTAATGTCGCTGTGCTATGGGTTTTAATGGTTTCAACTAAAAAAAATGTATTTTTCTTGTTCGTAATTAGGAAGCAAGCGATGGCTGCCCGCGCAGAGGCGGAACGAGATGGAATCCAAGTGCCTCTGACTCTCGAGGATTATTGTATAAAGACTCAAGTGAAACCAAACACGTCCGATTCCCAGGTGGAAATGACCGACTTTTACGATGATGATTACGACGAGGAGTACGATGACCCATCGGACGGCTCGGACTACGAGGAAGACGAAAACGACAGCGGTAACGGAGAGTCGTGATCCCATGGTAGACGTCCCTCGTCCCATTTTCATAACACACTGTACATTTTTTAATTATTATTATTACCTTTCTTTTCGATTAAATCCCTTATTTACTAATCACGGTATGCAAAAAAAAAGAAGAATAACGAAACGAAAGAGGTTTACCAACGAGCGTACATTGGTTTCTTGTAAATATTCCCAGGTTCAAAAGAGTCAATTCGTCTTAGCGCGACACCATTCGAATTGTTTGATACATACAGGACAAGAAAGAAATAAGATTTAAAAAGAACACCGCAATAAATTAAGGAGAACACTCCACCTAAATTTCCAATTTAAAATTTCCATCCCCCATTAAGTAAAGCAAATAGAGCGAGATGAAAGAAGAGGACGACATGGAATTGTTGTATTGATGAAGCAATTTGCCGATGATACAATTCGGAATATTTTCGTTTTCATTCAATTCGATCGTTCGCTTTCAATTATTCAATTGTAATGATTTCATTTATTATTATTTTTCGATGCGTGTAGACTCTGGACAGACGCGGTACGAATGAAGAGAGACGGTCGAGGATTGTATATAATAATTATGTTATGTTACGCGTAACGGAAGTAGGCTCATTATTATTGTCAAAAAGAAGAGAGGAGTAAAGAAAGAAATTTTTAAAAAATCTTTTCATTTAGTCTAATTTTAATATTTAGTTAGGTATGTTTAATTATTATTATTTACTACTTGTATATATTACAAACATTGTTTAGGATTGCGTTCAATACTATAATTGTTTTTTTTTTTCTTTTGAATATTTATTTAGTTAATTGAAAACATCTGTTTTGTGCAGACATAATAAAGTGAGTGTATAAAAGAAAATTGAGAGGAAAACGAAATACAAGTATATTTGAATTTGCAAAAAAAAGAGAAATAATAAGTATTAGATTGAGTATGTGCATTTTTATTTTTTTAATCCCTTCTTTCGGATTTAGATTTCTATTACATTAACGTGTGTCACGTGCATTTGATTGCTGTTAGTGTATATTTTCGAGCTGGAGAAAAGTGATTTCAGTGATGTTTGTGTCTAGTGAGAATTGAATGTTCATCATCAAAAATTCTAAAAAGCAATAGTCCATTGCAATTGTATTATGTTGCCAGTTTTCAGTTCAACTGAAAATGTGCATATTTAATGTATAATCACTATTCATAAAACAATTTACGTCATTGACCACACAGTTGCAATAAAGTATTTAAACTAACAAAGTGTATCATCAAATTTATAAATCAAAGTTTATGACGTCTATAAAATTCACTGCAAATTTTAACTGTTCCAGGAATGAATATAAATATGCAAGACATGTGAATTTATACAATTAAAAATGTAAAGTGTGTAGTTCTGGTTGAGTAAGAATAGATGAGGTAAGTACGTATTGATTTAATTCGTGATATTTTGAAAAAATATATGAAGTATATAAACGTTCAAACAGTTGATCAGAATTATACGATCAACACATTTTGTTATGTAAACTGTATGGACTATCTTTTCTCAAGGTTTTTTTATGTGAAAAATGAAAACAAAATATTTATAAACGATCACACTATATTTAGAAACAATAAATGATAACAAAAATAAATACATTTTTCTAAACTGTGCGAGCTATCAAAATAGTTCGCAAGTAATACAAACAAAAGGAAGCTAAAGAAATTAACAATCTTCCGCAAAGTTGGCCAAAATATCGTTCAGTTTGGACAGTATTTCATCCCAGATCTGGTTCAAGCCGCCATCGACTTCTCCACCTTTAGTTAACTGATAGATGTAATATTGTTTACCAGAGTCCAATGCATTTTTGCATCGCAACAACACATCGGCTTGTCTAAAATATAATCAAATGGATATTTCTTATTTAATAATAAACTGTTATACTGTACCTTCTATCACAGACAAATTCTAACTTGGTATTTGCCAACTTAACCATCACTTGGTCCTGGGATAATATATCTTTAGAGTACTTCTCATTTGGAATCTACAAAAATAATATTCATGATTATTAAAGTTTGTTGTTTATACGAGATAATTCTACCTCTTCCATCAATAATTTATTGGTTTTAAATAATAATACTGAAAGGGGGGAAATTAGACTAGTTTCACGAACAACTGTAATCCTTCGAATGTTTGATCTGGTTTCATTTATGTATAATAAATAATTCGTAGGATAATTTGTACGTTTAAAATTTACACTATCTGAGGTAATAGTTGCTTTATGATTGTTCCTAAAATGAATAATTTCATTAAATATCGACAGAACTCGTTCAATTACTTCGTTCCTTACCTAGTTAATAAAATATTAGTTTTTTTCATACGACCTTTCACCACGTCGAAATTTCTGTGCTGAAGAACAGTTCCGACACCAGAAAGTAAAACGCCTTTTACCAATTCATTGTTATCGGAATTATCATCAGCTATCGCCAAACTATTGTACAATCCTTTCCGCAAATAATCGAAATGTAGTTGGCGTAGTTCTAAAACAAATACATTTGTATCAATTTTATCCAACATCAATGATTATATATATATATATATTACTTTCTATAGTAAATAATTTATATTCAACTAAATTATTTAAATTGCAAAATCGTTTTGCCAAGTACTGGTCTCCATCTTCCATATATTCCAACCACTTTTCAAATATTGCTAACATGGCCCAATGATCGCTAGTCTTCGAGAATTCACGCTTACATTTGTTGACACTAGTTTTGTCAACCATACCAGTCGTGAATAACTCTGATTCGGCTGAGTATAAGGTGACTACATCCACAATTGGAGTTACGCATTTGAAGATAACAGAATTGACCAACGCCTTCCCAAGATTAGGTTCCAATTGAAAGTCGCTCAAAACTCTACCGAGCGGCGTAAGGCATTCGTTATCATCGAGCAACTCCAACTCCTTCAGTTCATCAACAGCTTTAAGCACAGCGGATTCTTCTGGAGGACTGAGCAGTTCGCTCAAGAACTCAGTAGCAATCATGTTGTTGCTGAAGACTTTTCCATCCAGCACAATTTTGGTGAGCGAGGTGCGCAGGATTTCTGGCAATGAATAGTCGATGAACTCATTATATTTCGATTTAGGATATAAATGGAAACTTTCGCCCGGTTTCACTCGACCGGCGCGTCCCTTCCGTTGCGCCATGCTCGCCTTTGATATCCAATGATTATCAATGCAAGCAATTCCTGGAAATAGTTGATAGAGTAAATATATTTAAACTTATTGTCTTAATACCTTTCTCGACATCGAATCGCTTCTCCTTCTGTATGCCAGTGTCAATTACGTAAACCACATCGTCGACTGTGACTGAGGTCTCCGCTATATTTGTTGCTAAAATCACCTTTCGAACACCAGGAGGTGATTTGGAAAAGATCAACCTTTGTTCCGAATCCTGGAGACGCGAATGCAAACACAGGACCATCATATCCTGTGAGTTCTGCGGCAACAATTTGCGCACTTTCGAAATGTCGTCCCAACCAGGAAGGAAGCACAGAATCGCTCCTTCGTCGCGTTTCGTGTGTATAAAATTAATTAATTTAACGACATCCTCGTGCACAACTGTAGGATGATTCCCTTCGCACATCTTCATAGTCTTCTCCATGTTTTTCGTCTTATCCAGGAAATTCACCTTCACTGGATGTGTAAAACCGGGTACGTGTACGATAGAAGCCTCTTTGAAGTAACGCTGAAATACTTCGGCGTCTATCGTTGCGCTCATCACAATCAATTTCAAATCCGGATTAATTTCCAGTGCCCTTTTCAGCAAGTTCATCAATAGATCAGTATTGACGTCCCTTTCGTGCGCTTCATCTAATATTATGTGACTGCAATCGGATAATCTCGGATCCGACTGCAATCGTCTTAATAAAATACCAGTAGTGCAATATAAAATATGACCAGTTTGCCTATTAAAATTCGATTTCAGTCGTACTTGGTAACCAACTGTCGAACCAACCTGAAACAATTAATTTAATTCAAATATTTAATAGATTGATTTGAAATATTTGTATATACAGTTTCTTCACGTTCGTTCGCGACTCGCTCTGCTAATGAAATAGCCGCAATCCTTCTGGGCTGCGTAACAACGATTCTACAATCCTTATCCTCGGAAGCCTCTTGCGCCCATCCCTGCAGCACATACTGAGGTACTCTGGTGCTCTTACCGCAACCAGGCTCACCTTTAACTATCACAACTTGATTATTTCTTATAGAGTCTATAATTATATCTCTGAAAACAATAATACATATTCAGTTTTAGAAATAATTTAGAAGATTAATACTTACTTATAATCTCCTATAGGCAATTTTACAGGTTCTTTGGCCATGTAATGAGACATGCCTCTGTACATCTGCCTTGACCTTCCCCTCTGTGGCCAATTCACCTCAACACTACCATTATCACATGTATTGTTATTTACATCATCTTCTAAAGTGGTCTTTAACAATGGCACCAATTCATTGTTATAACATTGCACAATGTAATTCATATCATTAATGATATTTGGTTTAATTTTTAGTGGTTCCAAACTTTGCTTAAGTTTCTTCTCTGTTTCTCTACTCACCAGCTTTGGTTGTTTATCATTAGTGATATGATCATATTTATTCAAATATTTCAGAGCTAATAAAGATGCCTTTGTAGATGCCTCCTGCTTTGTAGAACCACTACTAACAAAATACAGGTTCTCAGGCCACTTTAAATGATAGGTGCATTCCCAAGAAGAAGGTGCATAATTTCCATTGTTTTTGAATGTATAAGAAGGATTTACTATAAAAGATTTATCTTTCATCTCCTGAGCAACAACCTGATATACATTATTTAATATAGCTTTGGAGAAAGGGAACATCTTATGCAGCTCAATTAATTCTGTAGGTTTTAAATCTTCGTAATTCAACTGCTGTGGTACCTCAGAAGTTTGAGATGGCATTTCAACAACAGCTTTTTTCTTACGACCTCTCTTCTTTTCATTATTAGTAATTCTATGTATTGCCTCTATTGTTTGTATCGTACTATCTGATGAATAATACCTTTGTTGGTATAAATTTGAATGCCTCATGACAATGTCATTCAAACTTAACAAATTTGCATACAAGCCATTCTGATCTAAAACATTTCGTGGAGTCATAAGCGCCAAATTCTGGTGGATTCTGCTGTTCTCTATCTTCTTGTAATTCATCTTTAACTTTGTAGGCTCCAATTGGATTTGCGAACAGTTCTTCTTAGTATTAACAATGGAACAGCGTGCTGGATACACGAGTTTGAACAAAGCTCTATCCAAGGATGGCATGTTTTTGCTACGCGCAAAAAACGTATTTCGTAGCATTTTGATTTTTTTCTCTTAGCTTCAAATGTTTTTTCGTCACGGTTAAATATTATTCGCACGATTACTTTTAGAGGTTATGTTAGGAATGATTATACGGCCACACAGGCAACCCAATTAACGTTCAGTTTTCTTTATTCAACCCGTCGAGCTAGAAACCTTGGTTTCCGTGGTTTTCTTTATTTTTGTTCTTGCAAAATTCAACAGTTGCAAATATTATTAACAACCTTTGATCCATCGCTGCGAAATGTTGAGTCCAAATTATTTCCTCTAGATCCGGCATTTTTCTTATTTTTTCCGAAAGCATCCCTCCTGCTAATGCTTGTAATCTTGTCCATGTATCAGCTCTCAACCTGAAATTAAAATATAATATTCATTAAACTATTATAATCAATAACTCAGGTAAAAAGAACTAAATTCTTAATAAACGTGGACACCTTTAACTTGATCACAAGCAAAATCTTTCAAATTAAAAGCATATAAATTATGATTAATAGTAAACATAAATTTATAAATACTAGATAATTTGAATAGAGTACTTACATGCAGCATTGATAAAGGGGAGCCAAAATATCGATATGGTGAATATTAGGATTGCCCAGTCCTTTGCCATTATCGATCCACACTACGCGATCATCCAGGGTCTCATAATGATGCCTATCACCATTTTGTATAAGGAAATCAAATATTGCAGTATCCACTAAATCATACAATCTCTTTTTGGAGATTTTACCATTTAAACTCCTACAAAATTAAATAATGGAAATTGCATGTGTAAATTATTTAAAATGTTAAACTTACTTGCAATAATCATCTTTGATTTCCCATAAAGCTTTTTTATTGTTTTTATAGGTCCTCTGCCAAGGGGATCTGTTGTTCTTTAAATTAACATCTAAATTTAATATCACAGTTCCAACTAAATTCCCACTTAGATCAGCACAAATAGGATCTTCCTTTTTACAATAGAAGCATTTACCATAAATGCATGTTAAATTTTTCTTTATAAACTTTGTTTGGAGCAACTGTTCTGTAGCTACTGGGACAATTTCAGTATTAAGATTGATTTGCCTCTGCACAGATATTGGTACAAAAGGTTTGTTCAGCACTGCTGATAAATAAAAAGCCAATATCTCAGAGACATGTCGATCCTTTCCAGCATACACTGGTCCTTGTATTACCTTCTCTTTAAAATACCATTTTGGTTTGAAAATAACTGTTGCTCCACCCTAAAATTAGAATGATTTAATCAAAAGAACATTTATTATAAAAAATAATTACCTCTAATGTCAACAACAACTTGAGTTGTGTTCCCCGTTTGTCTAAATCAGCCTTGATGATTCTCCCAGCTTGCAATGCGTGCAATGCATCACCTAGATATGTATTTGCTATCTTGAAAAGTCCCTGCTTTGAAACAGCTGCATTCACATCCTGCCAAACTGATTTCATATCTCTTTCACTTCTCTTTAAACTTTTTACAAACGTTTCAGTAATGTTATCATAATACTCTGGCTTGATGTGGTAGTATTTGGGTAGATTGTAAAGTTTCATTAATATCTTTGCTTCATACCCAGATATTTGATGAGCTCTCCCAGCTTCATTTTCACTACTTAAGACATTTATAAAATAAGAAAGTGTCATCAAGAATATTATAATGAATATAGCCAGAGCCCCAAGCACTTTTCGTTTCTTAAACATTTTGGCATCTTGATTTAATAACTTAACAAAATTGAGTTGTTGAGGTTAAGATACAAATAGGTTACATTAAATTTAACTGAACTAACTACTAAGCCATATGCTTAAAATGAAGAAATATATAGGTAAGAAATTATACTTTAACAGGGGCGGCTCGTTCATGGATCCTTAGGGGTTGTCCCACCTATACATATTTAAATTTTTGTAATGGTTGATTTAGATATTGGTGCAAATCTAACTGATTTGATGTACTCTGGCATTTATAATGGTAGTAAAAAACATCAGGAAGATTTAAGTCATGTATTGAAAAGATCTTGGGATGCTGGATTGAGCAAAATCATAATCACTGGTGGAAATGTGGAGGAAAGCAATAAAGCAGTTGAAGTTGCTAAAAGTGATGGTAATAAATCTATTTTATGTATAGAGTATATTTATTTATTTATATATTTTCAGAGAGATTATTCTGTACTGTGGGTTGTCACCCAACAAGATGTATGGAGTTTGAATCTAATCCAGACACTTATTTGAATGAACTGAAAACTATAGCTGAAGGAAATCATAAAGTTGTGGCAATTGGTGAATGTGGATTGGACTATGATAGAATACAGTTCTGTCCCAAAGATATTCAAAAAAAGTTGTATTAACATTGTAGCATATTTCCATTTTATGAGAATAATTCTTTACAGGTACTTTGAGCTACAGTTGAAGCTCAGCAAGGATTTGAAATTACCTCTATTTCTGCACTGTAGAAATGCTGCAAATGATCTGTATGAAATATTAAGTAAACATCAATTAAATGGAGGAGTTGTTCATTCTTTTGATGGAACTTTTGAAGAGGCTCAAAAATTTATTGATTTGGGCTATTACATTGGTTTAAATGGATGGTATGTGAGTAAGTAATTGTAATATGATTTATTTTTAATGATTATATTGCAGTTCCTTGAAAACTAAGGAGAATTTGGAGACAGTAGAACAATTGCCAATTAACAAAATCATGATTGAAACTGATTGCCCTTGGTGCGAGATCAGACCTAGTCATGCTGGATATCAGCTCATTCCAAAAGATTCTCAAATGGTTAGCGTTAAGAAAGAAAAGTGGAGAGAGGACGCTATGGTTAAAAGTAGAAATGAGCCCGCAAATATAACGTAAGAAATGATTTTTCATTTTTGAACAATAATTGTAATAATTTCTATTCTAGTCAAGTGCTCAATGTTATTGCAGCTGTGAAGAAGGTTGATAGCCAAGAATTGGCTGATCAAATTTTAGAAAACACCAATAAATTATTTTTTAAATAAACTCAAGTTGTAAGACTTTTTCTATTAATAAAAAACTTACTTCGTATTTCCGTTTCATTGTATTCTATTTGTACTTATCTTCCTAGTATTTAAATTTATCACAAAAAATCCAGACTATTCACTTTATAAATAAATTGTTACCAAGGAATGATTAGTATAGCAACAATCTTACTTATTACAATCAATGTGAACCTTAAACACAAAGGTTATTCATGCGAAATAAAGAGGCAAGCATTTTGAAAACACCTTTTTTTTTATTTTCATTAAATAAAATAATAACAAACTTAAATACCATCTTTGCAAATGCATTATGAATTGGAAAATTATAATATTGTTTTTTTTATATGGAATATAAACATCTGGAATGATTAACAAATCCTCTCACATGCAGTTCAACTGATGTAAGAACATTAACTTTCCTCAACATCTATACAATAAAAGAAAGTAGAAAAACTGTATATTAATAGTCACATAGCTGGGGGAAGGGGAATCAATTAAAAAATATATTAATATAAAATAATGATAGAATTAAATAAACCTAATAAGTGCGAGCGAATCATTTAATGGCAGTCATGATTTTTTGGTAGACCCACTGGTAATATTCCTGCATTTTCTCCACACTGTAAATGAAGTTATCATGAAGGACTTTCTGCATTCTCTCTGGAGCCATTTTACCGCTACAATACATAAAAGATATAAAAAAAGTCCAATTATAAAGAAAATTAACTTACACAAATACATCCTTGAGCAAATAAGCTTTGACGTTTTCATAATGGTCACATACTACTTTGAAAGCATTGTTTGCAGTTGAAACAACCTGGTCAATAGAACCTGGACAATATTTGTCAATCTGCAAATGTTAAAATTTATATAAAATAACTGTACAATGAATTATATATAATTCTTACTTGTGCTAATAAGGTTGGTATGCGAGCCTTAAAATTCTCAACTTGATTTAAATAGAATTTGTTGAAAAGGATTAGCAGGTCACGACCCAACTCTATGTATGGTGTTGTAAATTCAACAGTAGCTTCAGTTACACCTGGGAATTGCTCTTCAATATGACGATGCATCCAAACAGTACACTCCTTTGCCCTGAATAGCACCATATTTGTGCAATCAGCCACTCCAGTCTTATTCAGAGCTTTACCAATTGCTGTTTCTGAAATTTACATACATAATCCAATTGATTCCAATAGGAGCCATTTTCCACTTACTTTCCCAACTTCCTTGCTGTTTCAGATCCAGAGTAACAGCAATGCATAAAAGGATTGTGAGCACCACAGAACTCTTCCTCAGGAAGCTGGTTGAGTCCTTCTTCTTGTTCACCATTTTTTTGCTGATTTTCTGCAAAGATTCAGGCATTTAAATTAGGAAATTGTAAAGGCAATAAAAGACAGTTAGTTATTAAAAAAATTAAAGACATAAATGTCAGAGCACTATGCGCTCTTTTGTTTCGACGAGAATTTACTACACAAATATAGCAATATTGGAAAACATAGCCTTACCGATTTTGCCATATTTCGATTCGTTTTACAAATAAAATCGTCAACGAAAAATATTGTCTGTAGTATTCAGGACACCACTTTTGCTGATCCACAAATTAATAGTGAAACGTTGCCGTATGTTTCCTGTATAAAGATCGATAAAGTAGGAGTATGCGCGCGCTATTGGAGCTCGTTGGAATATTTTCAAACATTAACGACATTTTAAGAAAAACATAATACAGTATCAAAAATACAATGTTGTTATTTGACCCCATGATAATAAATAGATAAGGGTAGCTAACTAAACATTCAGGATATAAACATTTGGTCAAGGTTCATTTAATACATATCATAATGGCATCAACGGAAACAGCTGTGAATTGTGCATTCTAAGTTGCCTATATTTATAATTTGTAGCTCATCATATCAAGCGGATTTCCGCAATCTAATAAGAATTGTAAAATTCTCAACGAAGCAGATATTCATAATATTAATTTCAATTATAACCAATGCAATAACATTAAATAAATTTTCAAATGTATAAGCTAATAAAATTAACAATAATTAATAATAAAAAATTCTTACCTGTACGTATTCATCTGCTTTCAATAATCCAGCATCTTTGCGTTTCTTGGTTAGCATTTCTTCGTTCTCAGCAGAGAAAGAAACCATCGCGTTCTTAAGGCTCTTGAGATCGACGTTCTTAGAGAACGGCTTCCAATTCGTATCTACATAATAAATATATAAGTAATACAGTTTTTCATTAATTTGTAATGTAAAATCTACCGATATGTTCTAGTAATGAAGCGCTGGCTACCAAATTCTTAGAATAAAGTTTGCTCCAAGAATTTAAGCTAGTTTGGTCACGCTCCATTAAAGCAACTAAAATTTCGCACAATTGATTCGAATAAGATTGATTCTCGGTGGTCGTTCCTAATTTCTTGAGGATCGGTTCAACCAAAGTATGATATTTATCGCCTTTGACGCTCAATAAGAGAAGATCGTTCAATTTAGATGCAGATTCATTGAGTTCCTTAACTAATTCACTTGGCACATTCTTCTTTGATCCGTGGATTACATCCAGTATATTTAAATATTGATCCTTTTGCAACGAGCTTCCTTCGACCGGACGGTTTATCAAATTTATCAAGTATTTTGTAACATATTTTGAATAGTTCTTCATTTCCATAAGTGGATACATGACTTCATGGAATACTAATAAATTTAAAAAAAAAAACATTATATTAATGTTTACAAGGGACTAAATAAAATCACCTTTAAGTCCAACACTGAAGTCTTTAAGACCAGCTTGACCAAGAGCCCACAAGATGGACAAACCAATATTCTGTCTGTTCTGGTATGAGTTTTTAAGTGTATTGTATGCATTCAATTTGTTTAAAAGCATTTTAGGATCCTTTGTTGCAATATATTGTAGAAAAAATTTGTGACCCAATACTGGTGCATCCTTGTTCATTTCTGTTGCCATTGTGGTTAAACTAATATCAAAAAATAGATTTACATTGCTTGGATTACTTTCATTCACAGCCTTTTCAATTATAGATCTCAGTGCATTTGGCATCTGTTGAATAAAATGAAAATATAATTAGAAAATACTCATAAAGTGAAAGTACAACAATATAGAAAGTTTGTGCAATTATAATATTATTTTTTTAAATTAAAAATATTTATGATAATTAATAATGTCTTACCACTGACAAGGGATAAAGTTCCATTTTATTGCTAAATGTAGGATCATGATTATCCATAGGCACTACTCGTTTGTTCAAAAATTGAGCCATCTCTTTCAACCAGACAATTGGTGTATCTGGGAAGAGAGCTTTGTTATTTTCAAATACATCTCTAAATTCATCAGCATTTAACTAAAATTAGAACAAATATATTAGAATTGTTGAAGGCATTGACATATTGCAACAAACTTACAGCACTTAAAGCACCCTCTATAGACTTAGCAGGCTTTGGTTTTGGGGGTTGCTGAGGTTTATTATCAGGCTTCTTCTTCTTTGCAGCACCATTCTCCACTGGTTTTTGTTTCGGTGCCTGAGGCTTCTGGTTCTCCTTATTGCTTTTTCCTTGACCATACAGTTTATTCAATTTGGACATGGGTACTAGGGATAGATATATAATTAATATTTTGTGTTATTAGACATGATCTTAATGTACTTACAGACTTCTTCCACTTTAATATCTTTCATCATCTGCCTATTGTTACTCTCCTTATTGGATTTGTTGCTATTGCTGCCATTATTCTTATTGGATTTGTCCTTCTTCTTACCAACAACTTCCCACTGTCCAGACATTATTGCTGATTTTCCTTCTTTTAATTCAAAATCGAATCAGAATTGGAGTAACTTCTATTATTGGATTAATACTAAGTAATACTCAGATGACACGCTTACAAATTGTCAAACAACAGAGGAGCCAAGTCACCAAAAACCTACTGTTTCATCCAATCGCGTTCTGGTTATTCTACCTTCACTTTTTGTTTGTCTGCGTTGGCAATACATCATTAGCCAATAGGAAACCTCCAACGAGAGAACTTTCTTTAAATTGTTTTTATTTTTAATTTTACCGTAGCCAATCATCCAGTAAACCCATTCAATTATTTCCTTTCAAAACAATTCTTTTACAATTTTTAGGCTGCTTATAAAAGTGTCTTCTAAGAAGATTATTTTAATTTAAATTAGTTATTTGAAACTTATCTTCGAAAACTTTAAGTACGGTAATTGAAAAGTAGGTTGTAACAAAATTTATATTGACATAAATAATTCATGTCAACTTGATCATTTAAACTTGCATAACTTTTAAATGATTCACTGCTGAAACCATTCACAAGAATTTCGTTGGTTGCTGAGGATCAAACCAACGACCTTTCCTATCAATTTTTGTGATACAGGCAAAATTGATACTTATTTTGTAATTTGTATTAGCTGTTTAACAAGTTGTATAATTACAGGTTACATTGCTTACAGTTTTTCTATCTAATGATAGTACTAATACCATGAGACTAGATTTTAACTTAGAATAATTTTGTTGACGTAAAAATTTAAATCAAACAATACTTGACGTTTTAGCTTCCCAGACAATAACAAAAATGCGGATTTGGATACCTTTCTAAATTATTATATTCAATTAACATAATTGCTGAAGTTTTTTCGAAACTGTCAATAAATAATAACTAAATTTATAAGCAACTGATTTTATGTAGTGGGACAATGAAAGAAGCAAAATATATTAATTATAATAGTTTTTTATTGAAAAGTCATATTAGAATTTCTTGAAGCTCTTCTTGGAACCAGCTCCCTTGGTCACTTTGAGTACGTTAAACCTAACAGTTTTGGACAGTGGCCTGCACTCACCAATTGTGACAACATCACCGTTTTCAACATCCCTACAAAGAAATAAACTCATTAATATTGATACTACATTATATAACATGTATTATTCAATGTTAATAACAATGTATATTACCTGAAGCAAGGGGAGAGATGCACGGACATGTTGCGATGTCTCTTTTCGAAACGGTTGTACTTCTTGACGTAATGAAGGTAATCACGCCTGATAACAATGGTACGTTGCATCTTCATTTTTTGGACGACACCGGTTAAGATGCGACCACGGATGGAAACGTTGCCGGTGAATGGGCATTTCTTGTCAATGTAGGTTCCATCAATAGCCTAAACAGAAGTAAATTAAATTTAGAAACAAGGATTAATTGGATATTCAACATTTAATGTTAGCAAACAATTGAATGACTGAACTGTTATTAATACTATATATCAGTGATTCTCAAAATGGATGTTGCAGAAAAAATGATGATATGAGACAGTATGTTTTTTACATAAACCCATTCTTTGGTGGGTCCCCTTTAAATTGTTAAGTAAGAAAAGGGGTCCCAGACCAAAGTTTGAGAAACACTGCTATATATGATTAAATATATACAAATACTAAACTGATTTTATTTAAAGATATAAAAATAAATATACAACAAATACTAGAGATTTTATGAAGAAAATATACATAAGCATGCTAATATCTACAAGCAAAAAGCTAAACCATAACCTTTTTCCTGTATTAGATGACTTAATATTTTATCACACAAATTCCAGAGCACCTGCAAAGATCCCAGCACCAAATACTACAGAAATGCGTACATACCTCCTTTGGGGTTTTGAAACCTAACCCAACATTACGGTGATGCCTCAGGGCCCTCTTCTTGGCAAGGGTCTTACTATTTAAGAATACAGTGCTTTGCTTTTGGAAAGCCCTCTCGGTCTGGACGAAGAAAAAAAAAGACAATTAGTAAAACAATTGGAGACTAACCTCCCTGGGTGTTTTGAAGCCAAGACCGACTTCTCGGTGATAGCGAAGAGACTTGCGTCGCTTGCAGGGCAAACTTTTCTTGCGGTTCAAAAACACCGTTGGTTGGCGTTGGAATGATCTCTCATTCTGCAAAATGACACAATATTCGTTTAGATTTACAAATCCTTAGTTTTTCACATATTCGAACCAACAAAATATAGAAACTCTGTAAATGGTGAACGTTGAATTTGTGTGGAACACGTGCAAAAGTTGTCACGGCACCATCACTTGCTGTTTAGATGTAAACAACGGCTTTTAAACGTTGTAAAATTGTCGAATATCAATCTGTACGTTGCCTCTAAAGATTCTACGTTGATCTTGTGTATTAATTTGCTATATTTTCGCAAAAAACGGATAAAAACACTTCGTTATTTATTTTACTTACTTGATCAGCCATCTTGACAATGTGGAAAGGAAAACGTAAAAGAGAAAACTACTAAAGAGTGAGAGCGGACAAGGATGTACTGATCGCAAAGCATAGTGGGAAATTTCAAGCGGGACATTCAAAGAGAACGCCCTCTCTTTGCAATTTAAAAGCGTAATTTTAATAAATATTAATTTTATTTCATTTATAACTAAATATTTTGTGGAACAGTATTGGAATGTACTTGCAATTATTTAAAATAATACAAATTTAGAAATTTGGAATTTATTGTTTCATTGGTTGCCTATACTAAATAATATGGTTCAATGACAACAGAGAAAATTAAAATCTTTAAAATATATGTATTACTTGAGGGTATAATAAACAATTAGAATAAAAGTACATTAATCTCAATTATTTAATTTAAAACATCTTAATTTCATACATTTGTTCATACATAAATTACATAAAGTTACACCTATTAGGAAATACATGTAAATATTGGTCCAGGATGCTGATAAAGAAGGGGAGAGGTTTTAGAGGGTAAACAGCCCATGATACATAGTACAACGTGGTACAACGATTCCACCCGAGTTGAGGGGTGGAAATATGCTTCTTTATAAAAAGGAATTTAGCTATTTTTATTAAATGGAAATATTCATTAATTATTTTAAATCATCAATTATTAATTATTTTAATATTATCTAATCAAAAACAAAATAAGAATGCAATATATTATGTTAAATGAATATGAAAATATATATAACACTACAGTTAAATAAAAATATAATGATTATTAGAGCGGGAAGACGGGGAAGACCTACAGTCATTTGTACAGGGTGGGCGAACTTCAATTGAATGATGTAAAATACATATAACTTTTGTAATTGTATTTTTTTTAGATGAAAGTATAGTTTATTAGATTTTTTTTGATATAGGTGTGGAAAATAATATTATTTAAATGACCTTCATTTTCTTGTTAACAAGTAATGACTGTATTTCTTTACGAATATTTTATTAAAGGTTTATTCTTTGTGATTTTTTTAGTAAACCGTTAAATCGGGAGAACGGCGATGAAAAGCAAAATCTGAATTTTTCGAAATATTCGCTCACCAAATTTATTGGCATATCTAAGGCATTGTTCTGAATCTCATGTTAGCAATTGAATTTGGATGGAAACATCTTCAAATCAAGTTTTAATATTCTTTTTAGCGATGTTCTCGAGATGCCCAACTGAGTAGCACGTCGACACTGTCCTACAGCACAACTTCTTCATTGCGAACAGTACGATGAACATTTTATCGTTGATGATCACATACTGCACCCCGTTCCTAAAAACTGTTGATTAAGTTTCTAACCATGTTTGTACTGGGAGCTGTTGGAACATTAAAATGGTCTCGGTATTTTTTATTCGTTGTACCAATACATCGTCGGGAAATATAATAAAATTCTTTAATTTTTATCAGTTTTTGCACTTGCACATTATACAATTTAATAAAATTCTTTATAATCTACAACAAAGGTTCCCAAACTTGTTTGTGTCGTAGACACATTGTCATGTTTTTCGGTTTTGGGTGGACTCCCTACTTACCTGATATTGATTTTCTTGTAAATTTCTAACTGTAGTGAAGTTTAGTGTTAAAAACTTAAAGTAAAAACACATGTTAAGTTTTATACATTTATTAATAGAATTTAAATTAAAACTACTCAAAATAAAATGTTTTATCTATTATATAAAATATAGGTAACATAAAATAAACTAAGCAATAAGTAAGTGTTTTTAGTGAGAAGGATCTACATTTGGCATCAATTTTGTAAGGTTTAATCTAAAATCTCCTGGACCAGCGGTTGCCAAACTTTTTGACCTCACGGACCAGTTAATTCATAATTTAAATCCCGCGGACCACTAATAGGATTTTTTAAATGTTAAATATATTTAAAAAAAAAATGGCCAGTGTGTACAGTATACGACAGAAGTTTTTATAACTTGTCACGTATTGTTATGAATTGTATCATGTTTTAATGCATCTTAAAACATAACGTAAGTATATTCCACATTTTTCTGCGGACCAGCGAAATTTTCTCGCGGACCACTAGTGGTCCGCGGACCACCACTTTGGCAACCGCTGTCCTGGACTAATGATGTCCAGTCTGTTTCTTTTTTTCGTTAGGAGATTGATAACAGCGCTGAACCCCCTTTCCACTAGGTATGACGATGGAAAGAAAATTAAAAATTTCCTCGCTATATTCCATAATACGGGATAAGTAACGGAACGGGTATGTTGTTTTGCAGCCAGAATTGCTGATATCCGTTTTTAAACTGAACCTTAAGTTCAAACCTACTTTTAAAATCTGAATAGAGGGCATTTAAATGTTGAACATATGTTGTTGAAACGTCGTCTTCCTGGCAGTTTGTCTGTGACAAATTGGGGAACTGGGAAAATTAGCCCCGTCCAATATTTTGCTTCATTAGCTTAACACTGGCAAGAAACGCTGATAAGATGGACTTTGGTTTAATCAAATTTATTTTTATCATTAGTATCCAGAAATTCTAAAATAGTCTCTAAAAGTGCAAAAAATACTTATCAAACATAAGCCTTTTGACATCCAGCGTACTTCAGTATGAAGGAGTAATTGATGAAAGTATTCAACGCGTTGCTTCGGATTCGGTTTACTGCATCAATGACTAATTGAAAAGATTCATACGATCTAACACTCAAATTTTTAGCAACTAAATAATGTATATGTCTTTATATTATAAGATAGTATAATGTAAGTAAATAGGTACTATCAGTGTATGTTGAAATCCACTATCGTAGACCCCCATTTTAATTTCATGGACCCCCAATTTTTGTTCTATTGAAATTACATTTATTTTTTAAATTTTGTTTAAAATATTTATAAATATAAAATAATGTAATACAAATTGTAATAACTCAAATTATTTTGTATATTGGGTTGCATACTTTATATGAGCAAATTATGTGTTTCTAATAAATAGACATTGTTAGAATAATATTTGAATTTACATTAAGTACGTACAGTTCAAATGTTTAATTAAGTAAATATTATAACTATTAATATTTTATCATTGTATAATTCTTTGTATTTTTAAACAGTTTCGAATTTTAGTATATTTATATTGAAAAGTATATATACATGCTATTTTATAAATACAAACTAGATTCATATGTGAGCTATTAAAAGTTAATTAAATTTAATAAAAACGTTTCTTTTTTTGGCCCTTTTTCTATCAATCAACTATTTCTTATCGGATTTTTGTGATACAGGCGACTATAGTGACTAAAAACGTGTTATTCAACTGTAGAATATATACAGTGCCGCAGAAAGGAAATCTTGCGCTTGAGGCCAATATCTAATTTGCGCCCCTGTCGCAAACAATCATAGCGACAAAAACAATCATATTACCTATTATTACTTGCGCTCTACGATTGATACGCCTTCGGCTGTCACTCCCTTCCCTCCCCAATTAACAACTATTTTGTTATTTCATAATACTTCTCCTATTAGCTGAATTTTTGAATTAAATTGATTTGTTTTGTTACAATGCAAATGTTTTTAAATGAACATTTTATGACATCTGTCTCTACAGTAAGATCGTTTAGCACTTAAAATGAGTTCATAGACTATAAAACATAAACAACGAAGTCATATTAACATGAACTTTTTTAGGTTTCAAGTAAACCGTATTAAATGAATTAAGTTTCCCGGACGGAAAGACCTAGGCCTAAAGCATTTGAGATAGATTATTAATTATGTTTATTATTGTTCATCATTTATATAGAATATTCAGGGTTTGTTGTAATTTATATTATTCAATTCAGCTTTAATCGAGAAAGCGCTAAATCAGTTATTACTGTGGTTTACTCTCTTTTTACCTTTATCCTTAAAGATGTTAGAACATAAAGTATAAATTACGTTTAGGTAGTTAGGTATTTAATAATAACATAATCAACATTTATTATAGTAGAAGAGAGATAAAGTGTCATGATAGGAAGACATAAAATAATAGGAGGTGCGCCAACGAAAATTAGGAACGGATGGAGTTATCGTAGGTTACTTAAAAATGTGCATTATCCATGACACGGAAGTGGAGGTGGCTCGTAATTTTCGTGAATATTATATGGTCGAGCGGTGTTCGGGTTTTTAAATAATTAAAATTGGCCTTTGTTCGTGCATAGTAATTCTGCGTTTAGTACGTACGTACGTGTACGTTCGTACAGCATAATCCGTTTGTGTGTCACGTCCAATTATTATTAAGGATGGGTGAGAACGGCGAAGGGTGGGTGGCCCAATAAAAAATTTAATAAAGGAAAAGACAATGGATGCTTTGTGTGGCGAGGGCGCACCTAATCACTAATAAAAGTCAATATTTAGCGTCCGGAATCATGAAATCATTCTCTTCCATTACGACCTGTAAAGGTGTCGGTCTGTTTGCTTTCTCTTTTACACGCAAACACATTTCACCTTTTCTTTTATGACGGGGGATGAAAATTTTACTGTTATTATTCAGGCGCGCGCTTCGGCGATGGCCGCCCCCGTTAAAATTGCACTAATTGCCAGCAAAATGAAGTTAAAAGAGAGGCAAAGAGTGAGAGAAACATATTTCAGTCAGATAATCAATGTGTCTGACGGGATTAGGCAATGCAAGGGCTTCCAAGGATCCGTTGTTCATTAATAACGATCCTTGCGTAATGCAACATGCATTTTCATGATATTCAAATAAAAGCTGGGCCCGGTCCTTCGGGCTGGTTCGCAGTTGATTCACAAAATGCTAATGCACTAAGTGTAGGAACAAATAATCTTGATGTAAATTGTCTTTTCACGATTAGTCACACAGTCGCGCACATATCATTAATTTTCATTTAAATCATTTTCGAAACCTCTTTCCTGGAACACTAAACCGCTGCCAGTTGCTGGAAGACCTTATGTTACCTTTACATAACGCGCATGTATAAAATACCTACATACTTATTACCGCCCTATTGTTTCTCTTCTCTCTGCATACGCTTCTTCTCGGAATCATAATAACACAGACAATACTACATTTCCAACATTGATAGTTACTTAACTTGGT